CACTGCCAGTCCCCCACGCAGAGATAACCTAGAAATAAGCCCCCGAAGACAGAGGCCTCAGGCCTGCAGGAGGGAGACTCAATGATGACATGGCTGCTGAGACCACGCTTCAAAAGGGGCTGCCAGGGGAAGAGAGACACAGGTGGACCCGGGGAAAACAGTCCCCACTAATACCCCTTCATACATTCAGAACTTCCCTGTAAAAAAAGGGCTTATTCACGACCATAGCAAGGGGAGGCCAGCTGGAGACCAGGAAAAGGACAACCCCCACAAGGTCTCTTCCAATTCTGAGTACACATTCCACAACACAGAGGTGCTGCCTTTTGGGCCCCAGAAATCACCCCATCACCAGCTGCCTGATATACCTCACCTGTGATCTCAGCTGCTGGACCGGGCACCCCCCGGGCTTCGGTGATGCCAGGGACAGGGGTGGGGGTGGTCAGCTGGGGACTGCTTGGGCGTGAGGTGTCCTGGGGCTGGGCCAGGGTAGGCTTGGGCAGAGGTGGAGGAGTAGAGACGGCAGGAGGGCTCTGGAGCAGATCTTCAGGTGGCGGCACAGGCACTGCCACAGGCGGTGAGCTCCATGCCTCCTTGTTCACCAGCAGCACCTCAATGGGGCCACTCACACTCTTCAGGTGAATCTGGTACTTCTTCTGTCCATTGAGGCCCTGGGGGTGGGGGATGGGGGACAGGTGGAATGAGAAGCAGGCTTGGCTCCTGCCTGACCCTGGGCCAGGGCTACAGTGTCCTCTCCCACCCTAGGCTGCCCATTCTTCTAGATAACCCCCAAACCCAGGCCTCCCCCTACCTGCCCCACCCGGGACTTATCGGGCTCCACAGCCAGCACCCGCCCTCAATCAACCCCGCCTGCCTGGGCTGAGCACCCACCTCTGGGATGGGCACCTCGAGGCTGGTGCCTGACGGGGCCCGGATGGCCAGAAGGGTATCTCCTAGAATGACAAGGATGGGTCAGGGCCCATGGGCTCAATCTAATCTGAGAATGGGGATGCCTATCCCTTTGAGCAAGGAAGGAAATCATGGTGTCTTAGGACAGTAAACCTCACCCAACCCCCCACTGGGTGGGGCAGAAAACTAAAGCTTTTCTCCTCCCAAGAGCCCAAGGGTCAGTAACCAGAAAATCTGGATTCAAACATGTGGATCAAAGGATTGCTGGCCATGGGCATCTCACTTCTTGATTGATGGGGTTGCTCCCTACGTGTAGATGTTCAGGCCAAGGCCAATTTTCCTTCCCCAAACCAGTCTAGAGGATGCAAGATGGAGAAGGAACAGTTCCTATATCTATAACGCAACTAACTACAGGTTGCAAGTGAGCACCATCGTTCTCTGGATACAAGCATGCAAGAGTATACACACCTGCTCTGTCCCCCTTACGCCTCTGTCATGCCTGAGAAGCCAAACCCAGGAAACACTGCAGATGGGGACTGACCCAGAGACCCAGCCCAGAATTCTTGTACCCTTTCGGTATGATTTGCTTCCATGGGGTCCCAATGACCCTCAAACCCAGGACTTACCCTGCCTGGTTCCTCTTTGGGCAAGCCCAAGGAACCCTCTTAAGAGACAAAACTCTCCTTGGGCACTGAGCCCACCGCTCAGGGCTGTGGCTCAGCCTAGCCCCACCCCCACTGCCCCCTACCCAGGCTCTGCTCACCAGCAAAGCATCTGCAGATGTCCTCATGAGTCACGTAGGCCAAGGTGTGGGGGTTAAGGAGAACGGCTGATGCCCTGCCTATGGTGACAGATGGCAGACCACAGGGAAAACCCAGCTCTTTAGCACAGATCTGACATACAAGCTTTCAGAGAAAATCCTGGAGGCCTGGGGTCTACATGGAGAAGGATCACAGGCCAAGAATGGTTGGGGAAGGGGCTTTGAGTCTGAGGAGGGAGGTCAAGGCAGGGACCTGGCCAGGAGCTGCAGGATCATCCTCCCGAGCAGGACAGTGTCTAGGGTACCAGAGAGCAAACCCAGCTGGACTAGAGGGCCCCTCTCGCCCACTCCCCGGGAGCAGGGACCGCCAGGAGGATATCAGCTGTTCTGCACGTCCTCTGTGACATTCCGGATGCTCTGCTGCACCCACACCTTGTGCTTGTCCAGTTCTTGCTCCCGCTGCTGCAGCAACTCGATCTCAGCCTTGAGCTCAATCAGCTTGTCCGCAATCTCCCGGGTATTGCAGCCAGGCCCCACACCCCTGAGCCCAGGGAGTGAGGCTGAGAGGAGCTACCAGGAACTCTGGGTTCCACGGCCCCTGCTCTCTCCTGTGTCCTCCTCCCCACGCCCCTGACACTTCTGGGTAAGAGATGCCACTGCCCTCCCAGGTGCCCCCACTCACTTCCACTGGATGCTATTCTTGGATTTTTTCTCGATCAGCCCGATACCTTCCAGCACGTTGGTAATGTCGTAAATCCGCCGCTTCTGACGCACAGCAAGGGTGTCAGCTGCCTGGCAGACAGAACAGAGCGCAGGATACTCAGCCCCACTCTCAGGTGTCCCCCCAGCTACCTTGAAATCTGGTCTGGAAGTGATCTGAAAAAGGGGTGGCCTGAGTCCCAGCCCTCCTCCCAGGCGCCACAGCAGATCAGGACCGCGGGACAGGAAGAGGCCTGGCACAGTCTGAACTGATGTTCTGATGCCTTCCCACACCAGCCGAGGAGGGCCACGAGGACCAGCACCTGCAGCCCAGAGCCTGGCACATAGCTGACGCCCAACGGCCTCGACTGAATGAATGAAACAGTTCCCGGCCTCCCTCCTGTGAGAAAGCACACCGATGGCGGCTTGCTCCCTGAGGGCTCAGCTGGACCGCCCCAGGGGTTCCCACTACCGGTCCAGGCCTGCCTGGTCCACCATCCTCCCGGTCGCCTCTTAGCCCAGGCCGCACCAGCTTGAGGTCAAGCACGCCGTCCTTGGCCTCCTGCAGAAGCGACACGAACTTGGTGGTGAGAAGTCCCAAGCTCTTCTCGTGCCGGCTTGGGGTGCCCGGGGGCGGCGGCGCCTGTGGCCCGGCCTCCGCCATCGCTCCCGCCCGCCGCCTCCCCTCAGCCAGGCCAGGCCAGGCCGGCGCCGCCGCCACTTCCGCTTCCGTTCCTGGCCACCCGGCCGCCGGCGCCAGCGTCGCTGTTTCCGCTTCCGCTCCGCGCCCTCCCAGGGAACCGGGCGCAATTCCTCTCTGCGGACACGGCAGCAAAACTTCGGGGACCATCAGCAAATGTCCAACCGCCGAAGAGGACGAAAACAATCCGTGGATCCCGGGAGAGAGGGCAGGGTGCAGGGAGAGGTGGAGGAAGTCGGTGGGCAGCCCCGGCAGTAGAGAAGGGAGAGCCACCAGAACCTTCCTGGCTGGCCAACCTGTCCCCATTTCAGAAGAGGAGACCACGCTGCCTGATGAACCCAATGTGTTTCCCCAAACCTGCTCCTAGAAGCTGTCCCAGTGTCTTGGGTTTACTGACCCTATATTCCCGTCCCTCACTTCCTGTCAAACAGCAAACACTAACTACATCGAGCTTGCCCACTTGTCTCCATTCCCATTCCCTTCCCTGATCCCAGCCTCATCTTTCTCTTGCCTCAACACTGCAGTGCTCAGAGACCAGGGAGTCATAACAATTTTCCCGCCAAGGCAAACATGTTTACCTAGGTGTACATATATGTAAAGCACTTAGAGCAGTTCCTGGGAGGTAGGAAGGATTATGTGTTGGCTAGTACCATGTTGTTATGTTTGACACCATCATTATTTATTATCATTTATTTTAGGTCAAGATCTCTGGGAGGCCGACTATGAGACAGGGATCTACCTGCAGGGAAGTTTAATGAGGATCCATCCTTGTAAGGGAGTAAGACATGCAAAATTGGGTAGAAGGGGGAATTAAACTGTGATGCAGTTATAATAGAGGCCTCAGGCCATCCACTGAAACTGGGGTGGGCCTTCCAAGGTGGTCCATGTTCAGGCAAGTTCACCAGGCCTTTGTGCCCTAACTGTGAGCGAGAGACTCAGCTGTGACACCTCAGCAACCTACACTCCTGGCAGCTAGGGGAACAAGTGGTGTTGTCCTGAAGGGTGGATTTGGGTGGTAACAAGTGTCCACTACATTATTACTATCCGGTGGTCCTCTCCATGGTCCCCTTTTATCTCTCAAGACAAACACAGCTTTCTTAGCCCCTCTACCCCTCTCTCACCATCGCCTACCACACACCTTCCTCACAATAGCCTGTGGCCTCTCACTTCTCTGCAGAGATGCATTACACTCCTCTGAGGAGCCATCAACACAGTTTTCCTACTGTGACGGTGTCTGCACCCACATTTGCACACCGTTCTCCACCCCAGGTTGGGGCCTTCTAGTTCACGTCTGTGTCTTGAGCATGAAGAGGTCCTGGATGGCCTGGGCAGGACTCAGGGATTACAGGGAGTACACCCCCTCCCCCCAAGGAAGCTGCGCCTAGCCCTCCCCACCCCATCCCACATTGCAGATGCACTTTCCTGTTGGGAATAAAAGGCCAGAGACTCAGCTTCCTTCCTTTCCGGGCATTTGGCCTTGGATGGAGGAGGGTGCTCCTGGGCGGGGAGGTGGTACAGAGGCTTCCTTGGGGAGAATTCTGCTACATGCTGAGGTGTGGGCTGGAACCACCCAGGCCTTGTGAGCCAGTGAAGAGAATACCCAGCTCTGCCCTGAAGACTGGGGGAGAGGGCCATCCTCAAGGCCAAGACTATTCTCAAAGGAGAAAGAACTGGCTGCCTGGTCAAGCCTGGTGAGTTCTGTACCAAACTGTCCTCTGCAATTCAGAGCAGGAGCTGGGGCCAGCAAAGGTCTGTGCCTACCCTGCCTCACTTGGCGTCTGCAGGGGCAAAACTGAGAAACCCAGTCTCCCCATCATTTCCTGAGGGGGGTGGACAAGAACCCCCCTCCTCCTTCTCAGAGGGGCCTAGCCTGAGGCTGCAGCTCACAGGAGCACCCCCACTCCTACCTCATCTCCAGCTCCTCGAGGGACTGCCATGGACTCAGCAACCAAGGATGAAATGCAGCCCTCACTTCCCCCTGGTATGAGCCCTCTGGGTGGGCTAAGGGAGGGATAGTGGCAAGAAAGATGGGAATGGTGGGGTTGGATCCTCCTTGCCAGGGCTGGCCGGAGCTCTATAGAGCAGCAAGAGGAATGGATCGGACTGCCCTAGGGGACAGGCTGAGAAGTAGGAAGGGGAGCAGGTTCGGGCCACTTCCTGCAGGCCCTGCCCAACTGACGAGGCTGCCCAGGCTCTTCCTGCCCAGGGCCTGAGTGGCCAGAGCAGGAGAGGGCGGAGCAGCTGGCCCGAGGAGCAGCACTCAAATGGGCCTCGGGTATCTTCTACCGGCCGGAGCAGCTGGCCAGACTGGGCCAGTACCGCAGCCGTGAGGTTCAGCGTACCTGTTCACTGGAAGCACGCATCAAGGTGGGCATCAGTCAGGGGAAAGGAGTGCTGGGGACGGGCTGTAGGACTGGCCAGGCCTCACTGGCTGCCTCCCTCCCACAGTCGGTGGTGCAGTCCTACCTGGAGGGCGTGAAGACGGGTGTGTGGCAGCTGGCCCAGGCTTCTGAGGCTGTGCAGGGCGCCCGTGAGGCCCTGGGCCAGGCCCATGGGTTGCTGCAGGGTACGGCAGAGGCCATGCAGACCCTCAGACCGCTGCGGGAGCAGGTGGCGCAGCACAAGCAGCTGCAGGTCCTGTCTCAGCTGCTGCCCCGGCTCTGGGCAGGTGAGTGTGCGGGGGCCCTGGTCCTCAGCCCCCCAACCGTTAGTCAATAAACACCCATCACTGACCGAGGGGCTGGCGCACTAGTGGGAGATTGCATGGAGGGCCACACCAGGGACCTTCCAGAGAGTATTTCAGGCTTCAAATGGCATATGAAGCAGGATACAAATTGGCTCATTCTGGGATTCTCAAGTATGAGTTGTATGAATCAGGACTGAGACTCAGCCAAGTGGCTCTGACCACCCTGGTTGCTAACTTATTGAAGTATTAAATAGCCGCTAGCATGGCCCCACGAATTCCACACTGCCTTGCCTCCAGGATCCCTGGCTTCCTCTTGTTCCATCAGCTCAGAAATTTACACCTGGCCCGCCGGGTCTCTAGGCCCTTCCCTGGGTCCTTTCAGATTAGTCAGTGCTCTGCTGTACTGGTTACTGAACACTTTACACCTCACTGCAGCCCTAGGGCCTCAGGACCCACTGCTGTACCCGTTGTACAGGGGGGAGGTTTGAGACTCAGGGCAGTTTCCTCTCCTCCCTGCTTAGTGCCAGCCACAGTGGCCCACGCGCGGAGCCTGATTGATGCCAGGCAGCTCTTGGAGGCATATGTGTGCCTTCGGGAGCTGGAGCAGCTGCAAGAGGAGACGTGGGCACCTCTGGGGGGCCTGGAGTTGCCAGTCTTCGAGGGGCTGGGCCCCCTGGCTGAGGCTCTCGGCCAGGCGGTGGAGGCGGCTGCAGGGGCCGCAGGGCAGCTGGCGCGGGAGGACCCAGCCCGGCTGGTGGCTGCCGTGCGTGTGGCGGAAGTGGATGCTAGGTACACAGCCTCCCTGGAGCTGGCCCCCAGGGGCTGGCGGCAGCGCTGTCTGCAGGCATTGCAGGAGGGCCTGGACAGGACCCACTTTGGGACGCCTCTCCTGCCTGAGCCGGGGGCCCTGGCAGGGTGGCTGGAGGCTCTGCGGGTGGCTTTACCAGCCGAGTTGTCCATAGCTGAAGCACTAGTAGCACCCTGCTGCCCACCGTACTACAAGGTGGTCCAGCTGTGGGCCCACACCCTGCACAGTGGGCTGCGCCGCTGCCTGCAGCAACTCCTGGGAGGGCCTGAGCTGGGAGCTGCTGATGCCTTCACCCTGCTGCACTGGGCACTGCATGTGTACCTGGGGTCAGTACCCTCGGGGCATCGGGAAGTGGGTGGATCAGAGGCTGGGGGCTCAGAGTGACACTGGCCTACCCATCTGCAGGCCAGAAATGATGGGGAGCCTAGAGTTGGGGCCTGAGGCTGACGTGTCTCAGCTGGAGCCCCTCCTGACCCCAGAGAACATTGAACAGCTGGAGGCAACATTTGTGGCCCAAATCCAGGTGAGTAGTTGGGGCCCAGGTACAGAGAAGCTCTGCCACCAGCTGTGGGCCTGTATCTGCAGAGTTGCATGTCTACCCATCTCTAGCAATATCTGCTCTGCTACATCCTGCCCCCCTTTGCCCCTTCCTCCAGGCAAATGTGGCCCAGTGGCTGCAGAAGGCACTGGATGGGGAGGTAGCTGAGTGGAACCGAGAGCAGGAACCTGGCACAGACTCTTCTGGCTTCTACCACTCACCTATGCCGGCCATAGTGCTGCAGGTGGGTGGGAAGAGGCCAGGCAGGTGGGAAGCCCCCAGAGGGAAAGGGGAGGAGAAAAGGACTAGGACTCTGCTGATGACCACCCATTGCTGCCTGCAGATCCTGGAAGAGAACATTCGCGTGAGCAGCCTGGTCAGCAAGTCACTGCAGCTGCGGGTGCAGGGCATGGCACTCTCGGAACTGGGCACATTCCTGAGGAGGTCTGCCAAGGCACCGACCCACGTCTGGCCCCTAGCCCTGCTCCTGGGGCAGCCCAAGGGGGCTCTGAGTGAATAAGGCACACCAGGGGGAAAGGGCTTCTTCAAAACAGGGTCTTGGGTTTCTTGGAGGTGGGGCTGGAGTACCAGGGACTTAAGCTGTGGGGGCGCCAGGGTGACAGGTACAGGAACTACCTCTGCCCTTTGCAGCTTTAGTGATGCTCTGATCCGATTCTCCCGAGACCACGCCAGGGGGGAAACAATGGCCCCTCATTACGTGCCCTACCTACTGGCCACCCTCAACCACCAATCAGCACTCAGGTACCAGAACCCTCCCCCACAGAACCCCTGACTGAACCCCAATTAGGTATGGACCCAGTCCACACTAGGTCATCAGAAATTTTAGACTCACATAGCCCTGAGAGTCCAATCCTAGTTCTACTAATTGCTAACTGTGTGATCTTGGATAAGTTACCTAATCTTTCTGAATCTCATTTTTCTTATATTACGTGTGGGTAATAATGGTACATTCTGAGAATCATATAACAATGTGAAATACCTATCAGTGCTTGCCTGACAGTACCAATTATTCATTCATTCATTTATCCAACACATACTTATCAAGGCCCTACTCTGTGCCACGTAATGTCTGAGGTTACAGTTGTGAACAAAACAGAAAAAAATCCCCTTCCTCTTGGGTCTTATGTTCTTTGGGGTGGGGGCAGAGAGAACAAACAAGTTAATGATGAGTTTGAATCCCTCCTGGCTGGGATTAAACTCTTCCCTTACCCAAACAGAAACCAAAAGACATGATTTGCTCCAAGTCACATTGCGATCTAGAGGCAGGTCTGGTTGGGTTCCTTCTAGCTGTCTGAGCCCACCACTCCCATCCTCAGTCCAAGCCCCAGATGTACAGAAGTGCAGAGAGCCGCCATTCTTGCCCCCTCCCGCCACACACTTGCACCAGTAGGTGGCGTCAGAGTGGCTAGACAACCGACGACCGCGAGGGCCTTGGCCTTGGTCCTGAAGCCTTAACTTTTGGTCCGTCCAGCTCCTCCGTGTCGGTCCTGCAGCCCGACGGGGCGGCTTCAGGAGCTTTGGTTCCGGTGGAGACAGCGCTGGACGAGTTGCAGAGGAGGATCTGCCGCCTGGTGTTGGAGGCGCTGCTGGCAGAGCTCCAGGTAAGGCTTCAAGTGGGGATTGGGGTGGGGGGAGGAGATACAACATATATGGGTGTGCGTCTCAGCAGGGGGAATCGTTCAGCTAGTTCTGGATGGTTCCTTCAACCCCATTTCTGCCCTCACCCCCCAGCCCCTGTTCGCGGCTCTGCCCTCACGCCGGTGGCTGTCGAGCCCAGAGCTGCTGGACGATGTGTGCGAGCGGACAGCGCGCGTCTGCCAGGATTTTAGGCGCGTGCGGAATCCTGCGGCCCAGGTGCATTTAAGGGAAAGGCTGGGGAGTAGGGAAGCGCCCATGGGAAAGGCATGCTGAACCCACTGCGCTCTCCGCAGCTGCTCCTGGGGGAGGCGGAACGTACGGTGGTACTGCAGTACCTGCGTGCGCTGATGCAGGGCCGCCTGGTGTGCCGAGGAGTCGACGAGAGGACCCAGGCGGCCGAGCGCCTGCAGCACGACGCGGCCCAGCTTCGGGAACTTTTCCTTGGTTTGGTGAGAATTCATTAGGCAAGCAGATGAGCGGGAGTATCAGTGGTTGGGTGGAGGTCGAGGGTGAACGCGAGACTTACCCTGCGGTGCTCAGGGCCTGGAGGAGAGTGTTCAGTGCGCGCCAGTGCTCCTCGCTCTGCGGGATCTGCTGAACCTCCGCGACCCCATGCTGCTTGGCCTCGAGGTGGCAGGCCTGCGACAAAAATTTCCAGACGTGAGGTGCGAAGACTGGTTCTGGTGCGGGGAGGGGGCGGAGGGAGGGGAGGATGGATTCGGGAAGAGCGGGGCGGAGCTGACATACACCTCTCTGGTGTCCCCGTAGCGAGGATCACGTCTCTGCCCTCTTGGACCTGCGCGGGGACGTGTCGCGGGAGCAGCGCCTGGCCGCACTCAGCTCCTTGCAGGCGGGCCCACAGCCCTCGCCCTCTGCCGGTCGCCGCGCACTCTTCAGCCTCGTCCCAGCACCTGCTCCTGCGCTGTCCTCCTGCCTTCCCTCGGGGCCCTGTTCCTGACGCCGGGCTGCCCTCCGGATACAGTGACGGCCCCCGGACGCCTGAATTGTGTACTGGGGGAAGGGGGATAAAATAAAAGTGCGATGATTAGGGGGTCCACGCTCAGCGAAACGCCTAAGGTATCCTGGCTCCAGTCCTCATATATGGGCTGCACCTCACCTATCCTGACGTCAGCCCGGTATGGACTGTGTTCCCAAGTACCCGAGCTTCTGCCGCCATAGGTGGACTTCAGCCCCAACTATCCGCGCCAGGGCAGTGAGCTTGTGTGTCGAGGCCCAGACTCTGAAGGCCGACTAGTACCTGAAGCGCGGAAACCCGCCGGGTCCTCGTGGAGGGGGCGGGCTTAAGATAACGCCGCGCCCAGGGGCGTGACTTGGTGGCGGACACCGCCACCCTATGCTCTGCCTGGCCCCACCCACAGCTGTGTTCTCCGGGGCTCGCCGCCGCCGAATTTGACGTGAATAGGCGCGCCTTCGCGTGAGCGTGCGCGCGGCCGAGTGCGTGCGACACCGGCGGACAGCTCCCGCGGGCTGGGCGGCTGGCGACTGGTGTTGCGGAGCGGGAACGGCGGTGGTGAGAAGAGGAGCGAACAGGTGGGGGCGCGGTACGCGGACGGAACCCCCCACCCCCGAGAGGCCGCGAAGGCACGCGACACGACCCCTACTCATCTAACCAGGAACCCCCCGCTCCATTGTCCTCTGGCTCCGCCCTCCATTGGCCACGCCCCCTGCCCCATCCTCCGCCACTTATTGGCTGCAGGTCACGCCCCTCCTCTATCTCCCGTCCCCATTGGCTCCTCTTCCACGTTACCTCTCCGAGAGTTTTTTATTGGCGTAGGCCACACCCTCTCATTTGTCACCAGACTCCGCCTTGTGTCTGGGCTCCTCCCCAGCCATCTTTCATTCATTCCGCATGTAGTGCTGGGTGCTTGGGACATGGGGGTCAAACAGATCCGTCCCTGCACTGAGGGAGTTAAGGGGATGGTGTGGGGACACGGATCTAGGCTCCGACAGTGACAGCTTAGGGTGGTAAAGAAGCCGCCTAGACCCTGGGAACCTCCAAGACGCCAGGAAGGCTTCCCGGAGGAGGTGAGACCTAAACCGAGACCTGAGGAATGGTTAGGAGTTTGCTACAAGGAGACATTGCGAGGGCATTCTTGGCAAAAGAACCTGAGACGTGAAAGAAACAGGCGTATTCTTGGTAATTGCGAAGAGGTAGGTCGAATGAAAGAAGGGGGGGGTGGGGATGAAGGGAAGGGCGCAGAGACCAGTGAGGAGTCCAGAAAAGTGTAGTTAGTTGAGAAGAGTGAAGTCTGAGGCCTGAAATCTTTTCAAACAGCTGCTCACTAGGCAGAGGGAAGGGAGGTGGGGGCAGGGGATCAAAACTAGATATGGAAACATAATGCGTGGAAGGAATGATTCCAGTTCTGAGAAGGAGAAGTGCTCTTGGGTTCATCCATTTATTGAGCAACTGCTCTGGGTCGGGTACTATTCTGGGATCTGGAGACACAGCTGTGAACATTCGAGAGGAGAAAGCAGATAACTAATAATGACATATACTGTACTTTAGGTGGTGACCACTGCTTCAGAAACCAATAATGTGGAGAAAGGAAGATTGTGGTGGCGAGGAAAGAGGAGGTTTACTATTTTATATAGAGTGTGTTAGGGAGACTTGTCTAATAACATATTTGTGCAGAAATCTGAGGAAAATGGGAGAGTGAGCCCTGCAGTTATCTGGGGGAAAGCATTCCAGATAGGGGACATGTTCAGTCTGGGATGCCTGTTAAGTACATTCAAGTAAAGATGTTGAATTGAGAACTGGCAACACTGGTCGGAAGTTTATAGAAGTCTGGGCTGATGTACTTAAAATCATGAAAGCAGATGAGATCACCCTGGGAGTAAGCATAAATGGAGAAAAGTAGAGACGTTTTCATAGAGTTTCCAAGTCCTGAGGCATTACAACGTTAAGAGATCAGGAAGACAGGAATGATGAGCAAGAAAGACCAAGAACTAACAGCCAGTGAGGTAGGAGAATACGTTTGAGTGTATTTGAGAAGCCAAGTGGAGAACATGTTCCCAAGATGAAATGATTAATTATGTCAAGTGTGCCAAATCAATATGAAGATCATTGGTGACTTTGGTCAGATCAGTTTCAATGGAAAGTGGGGACAGAAGCCTAACTGGAGTGAAACATAAGAGGAAAAGAAGGAATCAGACTGCATACAGATGGATGTTGTGCTGCAATAAGGAGCAGCTGGTGGGAGATGCGGTGGGGCTAGAAGAGTGTGGGGTCAAGTGAGGGTTTGGTTTTGTTTTTTTTTAGGACAGAAATAACAGCATGTGTTTATGCTGCTGGAAAGAATCCAGTAGAGAGGAAGAGATTGATGGTGTTGGAGAAATGCTGGAATTGTGTCCCTGAGCAGGCAAAGAAGTTCAGATTCTGGAGCCTTCAGTCAGTCTCTGGGGAGAGACTGGATTGTTCTGAGCCCTAGTACAGAGCAAGGGGTGAACGTGCCAATGCCAGCCTTGGATGACCATTAGAAAGAGGCCTCTGATAGGAGACAGACCAAGGACTGGCTTGAATTTGCTGAAGTCTCCCTCTGCTCCCCCAAAAGCTGATTCTAATTCGGATTTAAATAGATGACCCGGAGGGGAGAGAGATCATTCCAGGTGGAGGGACAAACATAAGCAAGGGGCATGCAGGCACTCAACCTGACCGAGGCCAACTGAGCTGGAGGAGGTGGTGGAGCCAGGTGGGAGGGGAGGGATGAGACTGAGAAAATGCCATAGTTGGAAGGCAGGCAGAAGGTAGTGAGGGCCCCTCAGCCTTCATCCCAGCAGCTGGGGCTACACTATACCAGCTCCCAGTCTGGGTGGGTGCTGAACACAGGGATTAAAATCATGAGTAGGGGCTCAGGCCTTGCTCTCAGCAGCTCATAGTCTAAGGGGATTCCAGCACTACCATCTAGGTGAGTGTATAAATTCTGCCTCCTCCCTTCCCCCAGTCCAGCTTCCTTGGGTAAGCCTGCTGGAGGGAATGGACACCCAGACCCCTGGTGGCAGGCCCCGAGCCCACTAAGCACCCAGCCAGGGCAGTGTGGAGCACAAGGCCTGTTGGTGCTCAGGCCACACCCACTCATACTGGCCTCCACCTGCCCTTCTGTGTCCCCAGAAGTCGACAGTGTGGGGAGTTGGAGTGACCCGGCTGGATGTGACCCCAGGACAGAATGGTGCTGGACTCAGGGGCTCAAGCGTATGAACAGGCACCCCCCAGCCCACCAGCCAGTCCCTCATCCTTGGGCCATAGGCTGAAGCCCTCAGACCGAGATGGGACACTGCTGTACCCCTGGCCTCAGTCCCTGGCCTTGCCCCTGGCTCTGTCAATCCCCTCAACCCTGCGGCCCCGGCCTGAGCTGCAGCCCTTCTCAGAGCTGCACTTGGGCCCCCGTGGACACATGCGTCGCAGTGAGAGCACCTATACTGTAAATAGTACTGGCCGGCGGGGGGGTGGCACCCAGGGTCGGGGCCCACCTGGACGGGGACGGGACCCAGGCGGGGGCACCCTGCGGTCTGCAGCCTCCCTGCCTCACATTGCTAAGACTCGAAAGGATGCAGGCCGTGGTGCCAGCAAGAGCCCTTGCATGTTGGTGGCCTTGAGGCCAACCAATATGGACCGAGAGCGGGACAAGTTCTTCCAGTCCCACTACACCTACAACCCACAGTTCGAGTACCAGGAGCCCATGCCCACGGCTGTGCTGGAGAAGTACTGTGAAGCTTCTGGACAGTTCATCCATCAGGTCAGTCCAGCCTGCCCACCTCACCCTGGTCCTGATCACCCAAGAGGCCTGGTCTGACCAGCCACCGCAACCCTATGTGCAGGCAGTTGGCATCATTGAGGCTGTCCTGGAGAAGTTTGGTACCTATGAACACTTTGAAGCTGCAACGGGGGGCCAGCTGCTGACCAAGTGCCAGATCTGGTCCATTGTTCGCAAATACATGCAGAAGGAGGGCTGCGTTGGGGAGGTAAGCTAGCCCTGTCTTCGAGGCCCCTCTTCTGTGTGCCCCAAACCAGGCTGCCTGGCCCAGCTCGTGATCCCAGGCAAGCCCCTGTCCCAATAAGGTGGCAGCTGGCTCTGAGCAAAGGTGGTGAAGGGTGTGTGGCCTGCCTGCCCTGTGGCATCAGTGGGTTCACCTGCATCCTGGTCCCAGGGCTGGTGGCCATGGCTTAGGTTCATTACCACCCGCAGGTTGTGGTGCAGCTGAGTGAAGACCTGCTGTCCCAGGCAGTGATGATGGTGGAGAACAGCCGACCAACGTTGGCCATCAACCTGACTGGAGCCCGCCAGTATTGGTTGGAGGGCATGCTGCGGCACGAGATAGGTCAGGGTGTGGGTAGGTGGGTGGGTGGGTCGGATGAGAGGGGGGCTGGGACTGGGTGGGGGGCAGCAAGGGGCCCCAGTAACCCCACCCCATCTCTTTCTTCCCCTTCCTTCCGGAGGACGGGCCCTTTCCCTTCGTGAGCAGCTACCTCCTCCCTCTGGCTCACAGAGGTAGGCCAGAACATGCCTGCCCATTCTGGGCTCACCCTCATCTCTTGCTCCTTTTGGGTATCTTTTTCTCCCTCTACTTCTCTACTTCCTCTCTGATTTCCCTTGACAGTGGGGACAAGGCTGCTGAGGCCCGGACAGGCCAGGGGGAGTACTCTGAGGGTCCCACTAACCCTGCCAACACGGAGGCCCTCCAGGGTGGGTGGAAGGCCAGATCCTAGGAATGGAATTAGTTAAGGACACAAAGCCGGGTTTTAGGAGGGGATAGGTTGAGCTGAAAAGGAGAGCATGGGACACTAATTATCATTCATTTCTGTCTATCTCTCCTGCTCAAGAATCCCGTAGCTCTGGGCAAAAGATGTTTTTCGCTGGGGTCATCAGCATGACTGTCAAATTGATACGGGCATGCAGGATGTGGGGCTGGGGTGGTTTGTGAGTTCCTGCACCTCTCTGAGGGGCGTGGGGGGCAGTGTGAGTTTGGAAGAGTTGTTTGTGTGTGTAGCCCTGGTTGGGTGGGGAGGGATTCTGGTGTGTGGGACTCAGTCTTTGGGTGTGAGTTCACCTGAGGAGGGTCTTCCCGCTCCTGGGGTTGGGTGAGTATGTATTGGGGGCGGGGAGAACTTGCGGGAGAGCCTGAGTTGAGGGGCTGGAGTATGCGAGTCACCATGAGTCACCGTCACTGTCACCGGTTAGAGGTTCTGTAGGAGGTAGCAGGACATGGCCGGCAGGCTGGTCCCCTGGATGACCTACCCAGTCCTGCCTTCCCCTCGCCTTCCCCGTAGGCACTCACTACCTGCGGGGCGTGAACAACGCGCGGCAGCCGTGGCACAGCGCCGAGGGCCGGCTGCAGTACGGGCTGCGGCCAGCGAACCCCACAGAGGAGGGCTTGGCCAGCCTGCACAGCGTGCTGTTCCGCAAGCAGCCCTTTCTGTGGCGCGCCGCACTGCTCTACTACACCATCCACCGCGCCTCGCGCATGTCCTTCCGCCAGCTCTTCCAGGACCTGGCGCGCTACGTGCAGGACGCCGACGTGCGCTGGGAGTACTGCGTGCGCGCCAAGCGCGGCCAGACGGACACCTCGCTGCCCGGTGGGCACCCGCGCCGGGTTGGGGGGGTGCCCTGAATGAGGTCTGGGGGTGTGCGGGATGGGGGGGAGTGCCCTGAGCAGGGGGTGGCCTCGGTGGGGGGGGGCGGAGGACCACGGGCCTAGGGGCTCACAGCCCTCCCGTGCCCCACAGGCTGCTTCAGCAAGGATCAGGTGTACCTGGACGGCATCGTGCGCATTCTGCGGCACCGCCAGACCATCGATTTCCCATTGCTGACCTCACTGGGCAAGGTGAGGGGCCACAGACCTCTAGAGATCCAGCCAGCTCTCCTCGTCCCGGCAGTGTTCCCTGAGCCTCTGATGGCTGCCTGACTGAGGATTAGGTGCCAGGCTTCTCTGGTGGGGAGACCTGGGTGGAGGTGAACAAAGGAGAAGTGACAGCCTGGCAGCCAAAAGTAGGTACTCGACCTAGACTGCGGGTGTATGTGTAGATACCACATCTCAAAGAAGGTGAGCATTCAGGCCAGGGGCGCAGTCAGGAAAGTCTGGGGGAGGAGGCTGGAGAAATGGCCAGGGACCAAATCTCTGGCTCTGGGTATCTGTGCCAGGCTGAGGAAGGTGGACTTTACCTGAAGCAACGGGGAACCTGGAGAGCTTTAGAAAATGTCACTTTTGCTTTAGAAGACTCCCTGTGGCTGTTATATGGGAGGTGGATTGGAGAGAGAGGCCTAGGGAAGGGAGTGCAGGGGGAGGAGGAAGCTGCCTTTCCAGTCACTCCGGCGGGATTGATGGCGGTCTGGTCACAGCCATGCAGTGGCCATGCAGCGGGAGGGGCAAGCTGGGGAAAGCTCTTTGGAGAGTGGAATTCCTCTAACCCAGTGGCCACCCTGAGTTGGAGGGTGACATATTCCAGGTCCCTTCCCTCAAGCTGACCTAGAGAACCGTGAGGAGGGAACCTCCTGTGAGGGGAACCGTGGGGCTGGCAGAAGCTGGCACCCCGGCGTTCAGTGGTGGGTGTGGGGTCTGCGGTCCCTGAGGGAGATCGGGGGAAGGTGTTCAGGAGGCAGCTGGATACCTAGGTTTGGAAATGAGGGAAGAAGCTGGGTTGGGGTTAGGAGAGCAAACACACCCAGGACTAAGCCTCAGGGCACATAACACTGGGAGTGGATCCAGAGGGAGGCATTCCAGGAGCAGAGGGCCATGAGCCATTGGTGGAGAGCTGGGACCAACTACCTGAAAGCCATGGCTACTTCTGGCTGCCCCTGAGGCCCAGCTTCCTTTCTGCAGGTGTCCTATGAGGATGTAGACCACCTGCGGCCCCATGGGGTGCTGGACAATACCCGGGTGCCCCACTTCATGCAAGACTTGGCGCGCTACCGGCAGCAGCTGGAGCACATCATGGCCACCAACCGGCTGGATGAGGCAGAGTTGGGCCGCCTGCTGCCTGACTGATGCTGGTTGAGGGCTACAGGCAGAGGCCCTGGACGAGGGCTCTAGATCAGCTCCCAGAACATGAAGCTGACTGTTCTGTGCTTCCATGGCCTGGGTGTTTCTTGGGGAATTGGGAGGGCAGGAGCATCCCAGGAGGTAGGAGTGGCAACATCAGAGGGTTTGTGTCCGTTGCTAGCCTCTCAGGCCTGGGGACCAGCAGTAGCATGCCAAGCAAAATGAGTCTGCCCTCCTACCTCTAGCTCTCTGTTGAGCAGAGGGGAAGCCTGGGGGCAGGAGGGAGGCTGAGCATGAAGGGGATGGGGGGTGGTTTGGGAGTAGAAACTTGTTCTTGCATGAGATGGCTTTGGGTGTCTGCATACTCCAGTCTCTCCCTCCCCCCACCTGGCCCCTCGGTGCTCCTTCAGCTTTCACGCTGTCTACCTCTCACTGGGTCCTGGTGGGGATCTCCCTTCTCCTGGGGTGACTGCCTGGGTCTGAGGGCCTGGCTTTCACAGAGACTTAAGGGGCAGGGGTCCTGGCAGTAGAGACCCAGCTGGGCTGGGGTGTGATTTCTAGCATTTTGCCTTCTTCCACTGGCCATGTATTTATACCCTATTTATGTGCTCTGCTTCCTGGGGCTGGGAGGCAGCAGCTTCTGACGGTGTGGTGGAGGGAACAGAGCTCCTCTGGAAGGCACGAACTGCTCCTAGCCCCACTCTCATCTCTCTCTCTCTCTCTCACTCACACACACTCACACACACGGTCTTTTAGGCCTTGTGGGTCAAGCCCAAGAGCTCACCTGGCCTTGCCCCCGGCCCTCCAGTGGCCTGTGCTGTTCCTGTCTTTGCCCACACCCTCACAGCTGGCCTCTGGCACATGGTGCCAGAGACTGGCAGCAGCCACACGTGAGCCTGGGGGGCAAGCCCCTAGCTATTGTCCCAAGTCCTGAGCCCCCCTGGACCAAGAAGGTGTAGAGGTGGTTGTTGCTTCCAGTTTCACCTCAGACTCAGCTGTGTGATGCTGACCCATTCCCACTCTCACCCTTGCCCTTGGTTTTCCCATCTATAAAACTCAGAAATGCAACTGGAAAGTCCTTATTCGTTTAGTCAGTGACTATGTGTAGACCACCTTCTGTGTGCCAGTTACTGGTCAGAACCCTCACTGAGTTCCCAGTCCAGAGAGAAACCAGACAATTAAAACAATTATACTGAAGTGTGTGGGCTCTGTCTACCCAAGATCCCTTTCTCTTCCTCTCTCCTAATCTCACTTCCCAAGGCTGTGAGCTCTAGCCTGCCCTAAGTGGAAAGAAGTCTCCCTTCCCTGGCTCTCTGCACCAGGCCCAAGGGCTTCCATGAAGTGGGGCAGGTGACTACATAGCCCTCCCCCCTTCAACTGGTGCATGAGGTGAAAAGCTCTGTAGGGCAGGGCCCAGGGGTCTGGCCCTTGTCCCACGGGGGCCTGGGACTGAGGGCTCCAGGGGGGTGCGGCTTGGACTACTGAGGATGAAATGGGGCTAAGAACTGGACAGTGGGGCACAGAGCTGCCCAGGTTGCTGAGCCTCAGGGGCACAGACCCACACCCTAATTCTGGGCAAAAAGCCAGAGTCACACAGAGACCCCAGGCTGACCCTCCAGAGTTTATTCACTTCTCGTGGTACCGGGTCAGATGGAGACTTGGTGGCACCCACCCCCCGCCCCCCAATGCCAGAGCAGGATCCCAGGTCCTATCCGGCTTGGGCAGGGGCGGCCTGTCAGTGCTCAGGCATTCAGGAATCTAGAGATAGAAAAAAAATGGTCAGTCAGGTGGGGCCCACCCTTCCACCCATCTGGCACCGGGTTTGGGTAGCCTCACACCTTCAGACTCATCATCCGCCTCGTCACCCGCCTCAGGCTCTGGCTCGGGTTCGGGATCTGGCTCCAGTTCAGGTTCTGGTTCTGCCTCTGCCTCTGGTTCTGGTTCCAAATCCTGCCCAGCCTCATCAGAGGCCCCAGCTTCCAGCTCCGGATTGAGTTCCCCGGGCGTTCCGGATTGCACTGCCTCGGAGCCCCCGGGAATCCCAGCCTCGTCGCAGTCTGAAGCTCTGGGCAGTTCAGGGCAAGTGGTCCTCAAGCCAGGTGCCTCGGGTGTCCAGTGGCCAGGGCATGGAGTGTCGTAGCTGCGTTCCCGGTAGCCTGGGGCGGAGGTGGGAGTATCCGAGGCTCATTTTACGCTTCTGCGGTATCCTTGACACACACCCATTTGGGGGGCGGGGAGACTGCTACTTGGTTCCCCACTCTACCCTTCACGCCACGCCCCGTGCTCTGGCTCAGGCCCCGCCCCCCGCACGCTCACCGGTGCCCACGTGCTGCCAGTCCCAGGCGGGGTCGGACGCCCGCGTGGTCCGCTGGGCGCAATGCAGCAGCTCCTGGCAGGCGGCCTCGCCCTTGCTCTGCACCAGCAGCAGCAGGCGGCGCACCCTGCGCTCGGCATCCGGCAGCGCGTCCAGCGCCTCGTACTCGGGCCCGGTGAGCACGCCCCGCGCCAACAGTGCATCCAGCAGCAGCCCCGAGTCGGCCTGCAGCGTCTCCACCAGGCGTTTCCGCTCGCGATCGATCGTTTCTGAGGGCCGCTCTTGCGCATTGCCCATGGTGCGGGCTGCATGGGGGAGGGGGAGAGAGGTAGTGGGAGCCGGGACACCCCGCCCTTCACCTCTCTCCCAGGCTCTCGGTGAACACTCGTGGTTGGGATTTAAGTTCACCTCGACCCCGGCAGCCGGACAGCTCCTCAGCAGAGGGCTTGTCCCAGTCTCCTCCCCAGGCTTCTCCTTGGGCACCTAAATGTCAGCTGTGGTTCTCTCCTCTAAGCTCTCCCTGGGTCCTTATTTATTCTCCACTCCTCTCCCCAGTCAGCACGTCCCTCCTGAGCCCCGGGCTGCCTGTGGATCCTACATTCTCTTCACACCCAGTTTATCCGAACTAACTTCTTTTTCCCAGCCTGCTTCCCCACCTTAACAGGCAGAAAGACCCGCAACTGATCCCGCTACCCAACACCCAGCTTGCAGTCGGGTCCTTTCCAGTCTATCCGCTGAATATTTCTGTCATCCTAACCTCTTACTTAGTCTAGCGTTTCATGTCCAGCTTAGACCCTGCGGAGCACTGAATCCCCTCTGCACCCAGAGCACAGGTGCTGAGAGCCTCTCCTCACCGACCAAAGTCCAGGCTCCTTATTCTGACCCTGAGGCTTGTCTTGCCAGGACAGGCTCTGCCCCTGCAGCGCCTCACCAATGCCACCACTGTGTCCTGGTTCCCTAATACCTGAGCAGGGTTACCTGAATTCTCTTGAGTCCTAGCTCTGACCAAGATCTCCTGACAGATATCCAACTGTCTCCTGCTGCCCTGGGAATCTTCTCTTGCTTCATCTCTAAATACCACGGACCCAACTCATAAAAGCTGCCAACAAGCGCTTGCTGAACTTTTACTGTTTTCTTCCGTGGACCTTCCCATTTTGAGAGACTGTAGTAAGCAGCAGGTGTTAGGCAGAAATTAATCTGCTTTGTCCATTTATTAACAACCAAGGACAATGGCCCATCACTTGTGGGGTGACCTGACCCAGGCAGCAAGGCCCCTGGCCTTAAGGGGCAAAGAGGTCCTAGACCACTCCTTCTCTCAGCCCATCTCCCCTAGCCTTGGCTTTGTCCACACAGCACCCTCCTGGGTTTCATCCTCCTTTTGAGGTCACTCCTCTACTTCTCTACCTGGCTCTAGGTCTGGGAGAGTGACTGTGGTCCTAGCCCCCATCTTGCCTCCCAGGTCTCTCTCACTACCACCTGGTGTCATGCTATGCCTCCCTGGTCATTTCACCACTCCTGGCTATACTGAATTGTCAGCGCTTCCCCCAGACTACTGAGCAGAGACCAGAACTACCCCCTGCCCCTCCCTCTCCCTTCAGGTGGCATCTCTGACAAATGCTACTCCTCTACTACTCAGGGGGTCTCCATCAGCATCCTCCCTCAGCCCCAGCATCATCCCCTCATCTCCTATGACAGTCTCTGTAAGTACTTCTCACTTCCATCACATCACCCTCACAGCACAGTGACTTTGACAAGTCTCTGGGACAGGATTTATTGTCCGCATTTTACAGATGAGGAGACAGGTTCAGAGAGACCAAGCGGCAGAACTGGAATCTGACTTGTTCTAGCTTGAACTACGAGATCTCCTGCCAAGCAGAATATCAGCCCTAACTACTTGTCTCCTTTCCCCACTGCCCCTCAGAGAGAATCAAGATTATGTGGCCTGGCCACTCAAACCACCTCCCACCCCTCTAGACAGCCAGGTTTCCCCCACCTACTTCCCTCCACCACCACACAGTGCTGGGAGAACCGTGCCAGCCCCTGGCACATCAGAACATTTGCAGATGCTGTTCCCTAAGCCTGGAATACCCTTCCCCTTCCTCCATGCTGTGAACCCATTCTCCAAGACTCAAATGTCCCCTTGTCTACCCCAGTGCCTGAGTGTCCCAAAGACAGACTGGTCCCTTCTCTTGTGGCCCCAGTAACAGCATATACTCTTACCACCACGCTGACATCACTGCACTGTGTTCATGTACCCTCTGCCCTCTCCAGCTGAGACGTCCAAAGACTGTCCCCACAGTCAGGGGTGCAGGACCTGCTCAGTACAAGTGCCGGGGGGGGGGCGGGGGGGCGCAGATTGCCTTGGCCCCTCCTTCTCCCTCATTGCTCCGCAAGTTATTTTCACGTTAGCCTCCTCCCTGCAGTACGCCAAGTCCTGCACTTTATCCTGTCTGCGGTGCAGAGACCCCAGCTGCAAGCCAATGCTCACAAGTGAATACCAACGTTATGTCCCGGCCAGTCCTTCAAGGGTCACAGACCAAATCCTTCCCGGAGCTTCAGGCGGCTCCAGGTGCGAGGCATCGAGGGAGGTCTCGGCGTCCCTCCCACCTCTCTGCGCGGTCTCTTATGCTAGGGAGCGAGGGTCGTGGGAAACTGCGGGAGCCTTTGCGAAAGTGCGATCACAAGGCTCCCCTTACCTCCCCTCCACCCAGTCCCACTGCTTGAATCCCGCGGAGGGGCGGTGCTCACAGACCTCCTTCGAGCGCGGCTGGTGGTGGGGGGGCGCGGATTCTGCCCAATCTTAGTTTCTCTTCCCTCCCCCAGCCGGGTGGGGTGGGGCTCCGGGTTCTATGCGTTCCGGGCGGCCCCACTCATGGGTCGAGCCTCCGCGGGGCAGTAGATGACGAGGCAGAAAGGGCTGGGCGGGGTGGGGGTGGGAGCAGCAGCTGCGGCGGGGGCGGGGCGGCCAGGGCTGCCGGGAACTGGGAGGGGGTGGGGACCCGGAGGCAGGCCTCGGGGGCCGCGCACCCCTGCACTTCTACGCGTAGTCCGCTTTCCCTCCCCACCCCGGGTGCACCGAATGAGTCAGGGAGGGGGCAGTTGGGCCTGCTGGGGCCTGGCAATTCCCAGGAGCTTTACATCCATCTTCTCCTTGAGCCCTTTCTGTTTATCCCAGATAAGGCTCAGAGAAGGGGACCGGCTTACCCAGGATCACAGAGCAGATGCATTGTGGAGCTGGATGTGACCCCAAAAGCCCCTGGGTTCCGGACGTTGCAGCGGCCTCGTGCTAGCCCTGGATCCGGCCAGAGGACGGGAGCCTAAGCAGAACTAGGGGCTGGTTCCCCAAGCATCTCCACTCTCCAGGGGTTCTGCTATTAAAACCTTAGCCTCTGGAAATTTCTATGAATGCAAAGTCGACCCCCTCCCCCCCTCCCCCGCGCCAACCCATGACTTCTGTGCTCCCTGGTCGGTGGAGAAAAGAGACCAGAAACACAGAAAAAAAATGCAGTTTATGTGCAGGGCTCAGTAATGGAGGACTGCAGAGTAGCAGGGTCTTCGTTCAGCCTCTTCCAGGGGCACCAGGAAGCCCAAAAGGGCGTGCTGCTGCAGGCCAGCCCCTCAGCTAGGCTGGCTTCAGAGTAAAGCGGGTCTCAGGGGGAGGGATTGGCCCCTGGGCCTAGGTAGGAGGCTCGGCTCTCAGGGTTGCTGTAAATGGTTAAAGCTCCAGGAAGGCCAAGAGCTGGGCCTCCCAAAGCCGCTTGGACATCCAGCAGGAGTGGTGCCCCAAGTGTGGAGTCCTTCCCTAGGAGGATTGGGCCGTGCTCAGCAGGGAGAGACAGGAAGGAGAACCTCACCTGTCCTGCCCTCCAGTCAGTCAGGATGAAACATCCATTCTCAACCTGCCCACTCTCACCCAGTGGCGAGAGGATGGGTAGCCTTGACAGCTCTCCCAAGGGCCACCTGAACTCTGGGGATTTCCCTCCAAAACACAAACTGCCCAGCCCACCCAATCCTGGCAGCTCAGACCAAGGTCCTGAGTCACTACAACTCTTACCTGGCCCCGGAGAATTTAACCCCTTGACCGCCAGCTCAGTCTCACTCCTCTCTGGACCCAAGGGCTGCATCTGCAAAGGAGAACCTCAGGAAGCAGCTGGGTGGGGGGAGTGGAGGGGGGGAGCTGGGGCTCTGGCTGAGGGCTTGGTTCAGTAACTCTAACCCCCCGCCCTCCCCCACCTTCATCTTACCAAGGACAGCTCCATGTCCAAGTCCATCAGGGTCCATTCTCGCCCTTGGTGGCTGGGGCCCAGCACCTGGGGGAAGCGCTCAGTCAGTGGCGCCCTCCCCTGGGCTAAACAGACCCCACCGAGGGCCCCACCCCTCGCCCCATGCCCTGCCCTGCTGAAGGTGTACTCACATCCAGGGGCCCTGCAGGCTCCACACTTTCAGGGGGGGCCCGAAGCAGCATGGGAGGTAGCAGATGCTCTGGGCTCCGCCGCCCCCTCTCCAGGGCCAGAGTTCCCCTGCACAAAGAGAACAGCTGTCGGCCTGCAGTGTCCCCCCCCACCCCCAATCAGGTTCCTAAAGAACCTGGATACATCAGGATCAAAATCGGACATCTACAAAATGGTAGGAGAGGATACCCCACACAGAGGGTGCTTAAAGAACGCCTCTGCTTCCTAGCCTCGACCTGAAGTTTGGATTATGGAATTGGGGTCTTGGGATATGTCCCTTTGCTTTGGAATTGTCAACACCACTGGTTCTTAAACTACTGTGTACTTTACAATGTTTCCAATCACCGAAATGAACTCCGTTACAATACAGATTCCGGGGCTCTACCCTAGATAGACTGACCTGATGGGAGTTTCTACTTTCCAGGGCACTCTGATGCCAGTACTCTTTAGAGCAACTGAGATATCTGGTCAGATCATATTGCCTGATCTCCCCCTCAGCCACAACAGGCAGGCAAGGCTGGGAAGTCAGTTAGCGGTGGTCTATCTGCAAAAGTGACCCACAGGACTCACAGTCAAGAATGGACTCTACTTACCTGTCAGGTAGCTCCCTGGGACCCCTTGGTTCAGGCTGTTGGGCATTCCTGGGCCCCTCGGGGCTGAAGTTCCCTTTCCCTTCCAGGATGGCCTGCACCACAGCCACGGGCAGTGGCGGGGGGGCTGTCACGCAGAAGTCACACTCGTTTGGGGCCAGGGCCAGCCCGGCCTCGCCTTCCCCCCCTGGGCTGGCCGGCTCTTCTTTGAGCAGTGCCAGGCCCTTCTCCCTGCACCAGAGAAAAGCTTCAACCAGACCCTGGCACTGACCTCCCCCCATACCCCCACAGTCATCTGGGCTGCCAGGCCCTCCCCGACAAGCTCCCCAGAGGGAGGCCTAGTCTGTCTTACCTCCTGCCGCCACTGCTGGAAGGAGAAAGCCTGGTCCCATCAGGGGATGGAGAGTCTTCGTGGATGTCAGAGATGATAGGGCCCCTGGCCCTGTGAGAACTGCTGAGGCCCAAGGTGGTCTCTGGGAGGGGCTGTAAGTAGAAGACTAAGCCCAGTCCTTTCTCTCCAGCAACAGGGTGAGACAGAACGCAACCAGTACCCACATGGACCAGGTCTAAGGAGTAAGGTTTGAGGGGGGAGGCTCAGTCCATGCTGGGGAGCCCGGGTCTGGGGGGTGGGGAAGGCTAGCCTCCACCTTCTCTTCCTGTTAGGGAATGGGGGAAAGGAATAGGCTCTCCATAAGCCTATTTGTGCCCTAGGGAAGGGAGAATGAGCAAAAACCTACCGACTGGATAAAGTAGGGGTCCTGAACGAGGGCACCAGGTAGAGAACAGGCATTGAATTTGGCCGGTGTTGGGCATGAGCTCCCCTCATCCAGCATCAGAGACCTGTGCAGGGGGCAGGGCAGGTTCATTCCCCATGCCTCTCAGCCTGCACCTCCCTCCCTCAGGCCCCAGCAGCCAAGTCAGCAGAGCTGAGGCCTGTTGCCAGGGTATCAGTCACATGCTGGAGGCAGAAGGGGCTCCCCCCAGAAATGGGGGCCCTTTGGGGATGGAGAGGGGAGGGAGAGAGCATGGTTTGAGCCCCAGACCCTCTGCTGTTGGGATGGTTTGGGGTGAGGGGGAAGGGGCTGCTGGAGGGGAAATTTGGGGCTAAGGTCCTAGAACATAGGGATCTGGGAATGGGAGTATTTGGTGGTCGAATTGAGGGGAGAGAGGGAAAGTCCTGGAGTAGGGACCTTGGGGAGATTGCCATGGGTTGAGGAAAACTATAGTGCAGGGAAGAAGAATGAGGATTCCTGGTGAGAGAGAAGGCTTCTGGAGGAGGAGTCCCTGCATGGGGCCTCTGGGAGGGAGGCTCCTGAAAGTGTGTGTGGGGGGGGGGAGAGACTGAGGGTGGACATCCCTTTCTCACTCACAGCTTTCTCTTAGCTCCTGCGCCGCTGGACCCTGTCTGAAGTGGCCCAAAGAGGCACTGGATCAGCTAAAGAGGAAGCAAAGTGTTAATTCATACTTTACACGTTTTACCCACCCAACAAGGCACTTCCAGGTGGATTTGCCGCCCTGGGCGGAGGAGGGGGGGGTTAAGGAGTGGTAGAGGGTAGTGGGGTAGGGGGAGAAGAACACCTTGCCAATGACCCGGTGCTGCTGACCGTGGCTCTGCCGCAAAGTCACCACCTCCCTCCATAAGATCTCGTTCTGCCTGCGGGAAGGCGTGGGAGGGTGCTGAGGCATCTGAGAGTCCGCCCAGTCACCACCCCCCACAGAACGGCAGGTCTAAACCTACGACCACTCGGATGAGCGTCCGTCCACGCAGAACAGAGTTCCACAGCTCAGCCCATTTGTCTGGATGGAGGCACCAAGACATGAGCGAGGAAGGAGCTGTCCACAAGGAGTGCCTGGTGGCCAGTGTCCTCTCGCCCAGACTCCCCCTCTCCCTCCCCACCCTCCTACGCCCCCTCCCCCCGCACTGCCTGAGTTCCCGCAGCCGCGCCTCGGTGCTCTCCTGCACTCCCCGCAAAGCCTGCACCTCGCCTAGCAGCCGGCCCAAGTCCTCGGGGCGCCAGCGGCCGTCGTCGGTGCGCAGCGCAGGCACCTGCAGGGGGGAGGCACCATCAGTTCACAGTCATCTAGGACAGGGCCAGCCGTCTGGACACCTCCACCCGGGTTTGCTGGTTCCTGAAGGCCGCCCCCACCTTGCGCCGCACACGTTCCAGTAGCTGTTCTCGGCCGCGTACGAAGCTTGGGTGTTGGAACTCGACGTGGTCGCGCTCCGGCCTGAGCAGGCCGCCCTGCTCGATGCTCACCACCTTCCGAAAACCGTCTAGGGAGGGGGAGCGTGGGGGCGTAAATTGCCCCATCCCGGAGCACCAAGGTACTCGCACCCACTTCCCGCCCCGGTCCTAGGGACTCACACATGTTGAGCTGCCGCACAAAGCTCGCCATGTTGCTGTGCTTGAAGTATTGGGGCAGCACTTCCTTGGCGAAGCGGCTCTGGTCGCTTACGAGGAAACTGGTCCCGCTCTGCCAAGAACGCCGCCCGCCCACTCACCGTGCGGGCGGAGACCGGACGACACAGTGAGCCGTGCCCGCCCACGGCCAGGCCCGCGCTCTGGGGACCCGGCCTGCCGCTCATGGAGACATGGGGCAAGGCCAGGCCAGAACCGGCTCTGAGGCCTAGTCTGGGGCGGCCACAGTGAATCCCTACCCTAGCCCGACCCAGACTCCGTACTCGGTTCTTGGAAAGAAAGAGCAGAAGCCAGACTTGAGTCCCAGCCCTGGACGGGTCCCAGACCCAGGATGCCACTCTGAGCTAGAACCAGACCCAGCCCTTCCCTTCTCCAGGTCTCTTGTTTTCCTATCTGTCTGTTGGGGTGGGATGGGAACTAAATGACCTCGAAGATCCCTCAGGCTCTAGGTCTCCAGAAGGCTCCTACCCTTTCCTCGGTCCGGAGGAAGTCGCCTCACGTCCATCTCACGCACACCCCCTCCAAAGTAAACTACACTGGACAGCTGAATCGAGGGACCCACAGCCCCGTCCCAGGCGGGGGTGGGGTGGGCGTGGATGTTCACTGACGTGGAAGGGTCCCGGGGACCACTGGGGAAGTCGAGGGGCCCCAGCCCTCACCGGGCTCCAGCGGATCAGGTGGTCGGTCCCCGGGTCGCCCACCAGCGCCCATAGCTTGCCGAGGAAGGCTGGCACGGAGCTGGGGCCCGGCTCCGTGGGCAGCGCGGCTGGCGCTTCCTGCATGGCGCGGTCTCGGCCCGGCTAAGCGCTCGGGCCGGGCGCCGCGGGGCTTGTGGAAGCCGTGGAAAGTGCTGCGTTTGCCGCCCGCCCCGCCCTACTCCGCCTCCGGGCGCCGGGTCAGGTGGGGGCCACGTGCGAACCCGCGGGGCGGGGCTCAGACCGCGGCGCTGCACCAGCGGACTGAAGGGGAAGGCTGGGATCGAATGTGCGTGGAGGGGTGCGGTGGGGAGGGAGACCCGGGTTTGAGTTCCACCCTTCTCAGGCCGTTTCCTCCTTTGTTCTTCAGGAGCAATCACCCGTGCGCTGCCCGGTGTGGGCTGGTAACGTCCTAGAAGGCGATGGCCATTGCTTGGATGGAGAGGGCAGATGGGAGCGAGGGGTGTGGAGAGCGGGTGCGGAGGGGAGAAGCTGGCGCCCTCCCGCAGAACTCTGGGGCGTTGTCATTCCAAGGATGCGGAGTGCCCCGCCCCTGACCTCCGCAGCCGCATCGGTCAACTGATCTCTCCCACGCCGGCCCCGTCGGGTCCTTGGGCCTCTGAGGGTTCCCCGACCTCCCCATTCAGAGACGCCCCACCTTCCAGAGGACGCAGTGTTGCTGCAGGATTTCTTTATTTCACACTCACACCTGACTCGCCACCTGAGCCAGTGTCCTCCCTCCCCCCTTCCCCCCTCCCCCGCCAGGGCCGCGGAGCTAGTGTAGCGTCCACAGAGGAGTGGGCTTGGGGGGAGGATGATCCCATTACGGATATCCACCTGGTGGACTCAGGACTCCCTGGGATGGTCCCGACACTATCCCTATCCCACAGGCCCTAATCTTCCAGAGGCAGAAGACGCAACAGAGTCCCGAAGGAGCGGGCTAGCCGTTGGCGCACGCTGGGGAAAATGCATCCAGCATCTTAGAGGCCACATGTCTGCCGGAGAGGCGACTACCCAGTCACGCCACAGGCGTGGGCAGCCAGGGATGCGGCTCCCGCGTTAGTTTGAGCGTGTAGCTGCGCAGGCGCGGACAGTGCGTGCGGAAGGCGTGCAGCACAGAGGGTCGTACCACGCAGAAGCAGTGTACTTCACGCAGGCCCGCGCAGCGCGCCGCCAGCAACTCCAGCGCGGCGTCCAGCTCCGCTGAGGCAGCGGCGCGCACCTCCAGCGCGCGCAAGGTTGCGGCGCAGTGGCGCGCTGCAAAGCACACCGGGCCTACCGTGTCCCCAGAGAGGCTGAGGCGTAGCGCAGCCACCGGCACGGCAGGCTGCAGGACGCGCGTCACGCTCTCTGCAGGCAGCGCTGGCTCCAGCTCCAGCTCCACGGCCAGTCCTGGGTGGCGGCGGCGCACCGCGGCCCAGGCTTCGTCGGGCAGGGGTGGCGCGCGTGCGTCCTCGGGGCACGCGCACCGTAGGGCCAGGAGAGCGAAAGGCGCGCGGTCCGGCGCCGCCAGCACCTGGAGGGCAGTGTCCGACAGGCTGGCTAGGTGCAGGCCGAGGGCGCGCAGGCGCGGGCAGGCTTCTAGTAGCTCGAGCACGGAGTCGGGCCTCACGCTGCCCACCAGCGTACAGTTGTCTAGGAAAAGGCTGCGGAGCTCGGGGCAGCCGCGTGCCGCCTGCAGCACCAGCGCGTCGTCCAGTGTAAAAGGCAAGCGCCGAAGGTCGAGGTGGCGCAGCGCGCAGGCGGCCCGGCAGACGGCGTGCACGGCGTCCAGGATGTCGCGGCCTGCGTCGAAGAGCGGCTTTTCTCCGCGGCACTCCAGGCGCAGGCTTCGAAGCCCCGGGGTGTGGCCCGCCAGTGCGTTCAGCAACTCAGTGGCCGCCCGGCGGCTCGGCTCCTTCGACGGCTCAAATTCCAGCCGTAAGTTGTGAACGTGGTCCAGGCAGGCAGACAGATATGGTAGCAGGGTGCCTTCTCGCTCACAGTCGCAACTTGTGGTTAGAACGGTGAATAAAAGGCATTGGCCGCGAGAAGCCTCTGCCCATCCCTAAGCCTGGAGTACGGTACCATAGCCACTTCCTGACACCCCACACATATACCTCCCAGTCCTGATCATGCCAGGTTGCCCCCAAATAGCCGCTGATACTAGGGGGGAACTCCCACCCTATCCCTTTGGAAGACGTACGATGCGTCTGCCACGAACTGAAGCCCTGGCAGGGAGAGCCAATGATATTTTAGGAACTGAGCTTTCTCAGAGGTCTCTAAGGAGGCAGGGCGTGGCCTCTAGACTCAGGTTCCCATTCTGCCTCTGCTACTACTTAGCTGAGTGACTGTAGGAAGTAATTAAATTTCTCTGCCTCAATTTCCTATCTGTGAGATAATTCTACCTATCTACCACATAAGGTTTTCGTGAGGATTAATTTAATATATGTAAGGTACTTAGAACACCGGTTGGTACATAGTAGGCGGTCAATAAATGTCAGTAATGATTATGCTTTTAAATCCACCCCCCGATTCCATGGAGAAAGGGAGAAGGTGGGAGGGCGTCAGGAGAGTGAGGAGCCCGCTCACCTGATGGTCGTGTCGCGCCACACGACACTGCAGGCGGCAGCAACAGCCCAGGCTCTGCAGACCCTGGCGGCAGCAACACGGTCCCGCAGGGGCAGATAGCGAAGGATGAGCACCAGCACCTCCTCTGGCAGTTGCTCTCCGGGCTCGGCCATGGCCCTGCGCGGGGTGGGAGCTCTGCCGCTTCCAGAAGCTCTTGCCTGGAGAGAGAGGGGCGTCTCTGGGCTCCAGAAAGCCAAAATGTTGACGGAACCACCGGGGCCTATATGTGGAAAGGCTTGTGGCCCAGAAGTTGCTACAAAATTTGCAGAGCCCAGTGCAAAATGAAAATGTGGGACTCTTTGCTGAAAATATTATTAATAATTTCAAAACCGTGACAGCAAAACATTTAAGCAAATTATTAAACCAAGCATGAGGCCCTGTTTCACTTACTGCACAGGTCTCAGACCCATGATCGGCCCCGGTTGCTGAAAGATTTCTGATTCTCCTTTACACTACGTTCTCGCTTGAACAAATCTGCATTTTATGCTATACTAGAAGGAATGCAACCCACGACCTGTGCGCGAGGTTGATAAAGCCGAATATCCGGATTTGGAAAATGCTATCGGATCTTTCTCCTAGCCACTAAAGTTTTCCCTGGGGAAGGTGGAGGGCGGCTGCATCTGCCCGGACTTGGGACAACCCTGTCCTCCCTTCCTCCCCCCCCTGCCCCCCCGCCCCCCAGCTCAGAGAGCCTCCTGCCTTCCTATACACACACTCGGAGCCACCAGGACCACCCAGACTAGTCTTCCAGACATCTTCTAGAACTGCTTTCTTCCAACTTCTACTCTGAGTTCCAGGTTAGGACTGGACTCAAGCCTCGCCTCAAGGGCCATTGAAATGAGGGTTTCTCAGAGGGCGGGGGTATCAGAATCACCCGGACACTTGTTCACAATACAGATTCTACCGCCCCACCTACTAAATCAGGCTCTTCGGAAAAGTCGGGCCCAGGAGTCTGAATTTCAACAAGTGCCAGTTGACTTCACAGGTCCCTAGTTGAGAGCCCGCATCCCAGCCAAGCCAGTTACTAAAGAGCGACGACTGGGTTAATAGGGCGGGGGCACTGGAGAAGACTTTTAATTGGCGGGGACCACCAGCCAATCAGGAAGCAGGGGCGCGGGTGGGGCACTGCTCAATCTGCTCCGAAAGGGGAGGCTCTTTCCTTTCCTCCACCTCACTGGGGAGACGTCCCGGGTGCTTCCAAAGAAAGGCCGGCTGAGCGGAGAAAAGCTTCGGGTTCTGGGGCGTGAGGAGCCCTAGGTTCAAGTTTCAGTCCTGACTCTGGATCAGTCCAGGCTCAGGTTGGGCAGTTTCGGTTCAGCTGGGATTCTGCAGACCCATTCCGGAGCGCGGCCTTTATTGGAAAGTGTGCGTCCTCTTCAAAGTTGCCCATTTTATTTTAGGGTGCTTGAAGGTTTTCCTACACAACGTTTCACACCACTTGCCAGTTTTCTATTTCCCCATATTTTCCAGGCTAACGGTCCCTTGCTGCAATTTGCGCCTCATATATCCTGGGGCTTCAGATACCGCGGCCAAGCTTGAACTTGGACCCACCGGCACCCTGTTCTGAGTGTCAGGGAGTAGGAGAGGTCAGAGATCATCGAGCTCAAACCCGCCCCGCCCAGACGTCACTAGAAAATTCTGGTGTCCAGGGGGTACCTCTTTGTTGATCCGTCCGCTCCCTGCTTGAGAAAGCAGGGCAGTTCTCACCCTGGGGCCCCCCGGGCTCGTAAGAGCCGAAAGCGCCCTAAGTCTTTTACCGTGGGCAGTTCTTCGTGCCGTCTAACCTCGGGCGCCAACGTCTTACCTGCTCAACGGACCAGGTGGGCTTTGCCCAGGGGCTGGGGACTGGCGGCGGAGGACAGTGGGCGGGAAGAAATGGCTGGGATCATTGGGGGCGGGACGCCGGGGCTGACGGGGCTGCTCCGGCTGGGGCACCGCCCCTGCGCTTCGCGCACACCCGGAAGCGTTCTGGTCCAGTGGAGTCGGGCGGGCGTGGGAATCCGGGCTGGGCCAAGGCTGCCAGGTTAGTGCAGAGGGTGGGTGGGCTTCCCGGTGCCGGCGGGAGCAGAGGCGGATCCTGGTTCAGGAGCGTGGGTGCGGCGCGGTTGTCACCCGCGCTGCCCGGGCCAGTTGGTGGCGGCGGCCTGTTGGGCTGTTTCCGCGAGAGGCGACAGAGAGCCTACGGACGTTGGCACTCGCAGGTTCCTTGTCCCAGCTGAGGTCTTTGGAGGGGGTGTTCGATTCCTGCTGGTGGGAGGGCGGGGCGGGGCTGGTTCTGAAAGTGTCTGTGAGCAAAGACCTGTTCCCGCCTCAGCCAGGTGAACAGGCGAAACCCCAGCATGAGGGTGGACACAACTGGAGTCTGGGGAGCTTCCCTCGAGAGCTCGGGAGCGGGCCAGCTGAGTAGGGGGCGCTCCAGGATGGATGCAGTCCTAGAGGGGCCACGGCCGCGGGCCGTTGGCGGCCACCCGGCCGGAGGCGGGGCTGCCCGGGGACTGTTAGGCTGTATTAATGGGGCGCGGCGCCTGTCTGGCCCCTGGTGGTAGGGCCCTATTTTCTTGAGTCGGTACCCGCTAGTCGCTCAGTCTCACCCAAGAGTCCCGAAGGACCCATCCGGGTCCCACTCTCAGAGAGGCGGACTGCCGGTGGGTGAGGCGCGGGGCTTCCCGAGGAGGGGCTTCTGTAGAAGGACACGTAGGAAGAAGTTCTCCAGCGGACCACGCGAGCCAAGGGTCCTGATCCTGTTATCTGACCCTCTCGACCTCCAGCCTGGCCGACCTGTTTGACTTCTCCCATTTGTCCACTAGGGGGGTGTGATGGAGCATCCCCTCTTCCTCCAGGATTCCAGTGCCCGCCCTGACAGTCCCGATAGTCAGACTCTGGCCCCATCCTGCCCTCACTTCCACCCCTGAGGCCGATCACATTCATGGGGTCAGCACCCTCAAGTCAGGGGGCTAAGAAGACATGGAAGAGGAAATGTTTCAGGACAGGTTCCCACACTCTCCTACCCTCTGGGCCATTCCCTTTGGGCTCCTAACTTGTCTCATTTGTCTTGTACCGCTCTTGGTCCCACTTATCACCTATAGAGTCTTACCCCGTTTATGTTTTATTTTTTGCTTCAATTTTATGTTGCCTTTTAATACAAAGGACATATGTCAATTTTACATAAAGTAGAATGTTGCTAAATACAGTGAAAATAAAAATCTCCCCTCCCCCCACTCTCTTCCTCAACCCTCTGCAGAGGTAAACAATGCTAGCTAGCTTTCTGTTAATTTCCAGACGACTGCTTTCGGTAAATACACAAGTATTAATTTGTTTTCTACCAAAAAATTATGGGGGGCGCTCAAAAGGCATGTCCTCTGTGCTCAGACAGAGGGTGGGATGGACCGTCACCAGATACCATTTCTCTTGCCAGGTCTGGGTGATACTGGGGGGCCACTGCCCAGTTACTGTCCTGGCTTTGGCTCTCAGGTTAGGGTGTGGGGGCAGATCTGAAATGCAGCCTCTGCTTTAGCTCAGGATCCCTGCTCCTTCCCCACAAAGGTCCAAGGCTGTGGTCCGGGTTCCCTCTGGCAGCAATCCCCCCTTCCCTGTCCCTCAAGTAAATGGATGCCAGCTGGGGCCACCCTATCTGTTCTGCCCAGAGCAGTGACATCCAGGGTGCTCACAGCTAGGGCTCAGCAGCCCCCCCTAGCCTACTGTATATAAATGCTGGAGATCAGAGATAAAGAAGTGTGACTGGTGGGGCAGTAGGTGGGGTCTTGAGCCAATGTTTCTAGGACAAGGATGGGATGTTGCCTCAGGTGAGGTGGGGAGGAAGAGGCAGGGCAGTTCTCCATCTGCAGCCTCATGGGGCAGTAACTGGAAGGCAATTAAACTGAGGAGGGTCAATGAAGTGGTTTCCTGGCTGGGAATTTTGCCCTCCCCCTGGTCTAGGGCTAGGATTTTGTCAGAAGATAGATGGAGGAGATACGAGCACCAAGGGGCCCTGGCTCTGTCTGCACAGGGAGGAAATCTGTAATAGAACAATTTGAGTTGCATAAGACAAGAGCCCAGCTCCAAGGACTTTAGAACAAAAAGGAATGATTTAATTCACATAACTGGAAAGTTCAGGGTGCAGCTAGAGCCAGGGCCATATGGTTAGGCATACACCTCCTCATCTCTTGGCTCTGTATCCTTCTGTGTCAGTTTTATTCTCAGCCAGGCTCTTTCTAGGCAGCGGCTGAGGAGTCCTTTCTTCCAGCTCAGTCCCATGGAAAGGGAAACTAGTGGGTCTCTCTTATTGGTCCAGCCACAGTTGCAGGCTGATTCTGATTGGTCCAACCTAAATCTTATGCCCAACTCTGAACTAACCAAGAAAGGGGAGTGGAATATGCAGTTTTGGCCAGGCCTATTTCACTTGCGCACACCTGGAATTAGGAAGTGGAGTTAGCGCTCCTAACAGGAACATGGATTGAGAAGAGGGAAGAGGGAAGACCCCAAAGGTCAGTCAGGATTGGGAGAGGGAAATGGGCAGGTGAAAACTACAGGTGTCCTTTGCGATGAAGCCAGGAGGTATATAGTAGGAATGCAGGTGAGAAAACCTAATGGGAGCTGTTGTCCCAAAGGGATCGTGGGAGCTCAAGTTTAAGCTGAAGGCATACCAGGATATGGGTTCCGTTGGCTGTGGGGAATGGGCACTATCCAGGATAAGGATGTCTCCTGTCAGCTTTGAAAGAGAGACATCCTGGCCCGAAGAGGGGGCAGAACCACTGCAGGATAGTACCTCCCTTTTTCTGCCACTGTAACCCTGGGCTTTCTCAGAGAAGATAGTGGAGGGACAGTCCTCACTGCAAGTCTGGGCTGAGCTGGGCTGGGCTGTGCAGATTCAGAAGCACAAGGGGCTGCCTGTAAGATGATGAACTTCCCCTCACAAGTGTGCCAGCTGGGTGGGGACAGCTGAGCCACGGAGGACTGGACTGTTGTCTCCAGGGCTGGGTTGGGGGTGATCTGGATGCCTATCTGCGTCTCCAGGAGGCAAGATGGCGACTGGGCCAAATGGGCTCGACGAGTGGGTGGGCAGCGCATACCTGTTTGTGGAGTCCTCGCTGGACAAGGTGGTCCTATCTGATGCCTATGCTCACGCCCAGCAGAAGGTTCCGGTGTACAGGGCTCTGCGGACTGCACTGACAGGTGTGTGGGTGGGCGGGTACTTGGAGAGAAAGGGGGGGAGCTTGGGCCTTTTGTAGGCGGGACCAGGGGCTGAGGCCCCACCTCCTCAACTCTGGGCCTGCGCTTAACCAGCACGTTATGGAAAAGATTTGACGGCGAGGGGGAGGAGAGGAGAAGGATGTCTGGTTTCATAGGCTCTGTCTTCTCTGTTTACGCATGTGTGCCCTTCTCTGTTTACGCACGTGTGTCCCCGTGTCTGTGTATGATCTACCTATATATACACTAACGCCCCCACCTCCGCTTGATGCCTCCCCCAATCCCCAGACCAGCCAGCTCACTGCTTTCTATTAATCACGCCTTTCTCTCTTTTCCTCTCTCACTGCAGCACTCCTTGCCCAACACCCCTCCCCAGTACCTGCCTTTCGGGGGGCCCCCCTTTCCTATCTCAGGGCAGAGGCCACAGGAAGCTGAAACGTGTTGGTGTATCCGCCTCCTTCCTGGGCAGCGGGAGCCACAGTTGGTAGAGGCTGAAGACCTGAGACCTCTTGTTCCTCCGCTGCCCCGCGGGCCGCCTACCCAGACGGCTTGGCTGCCCTGGGCACACGCCCCTCTCTGTGCTGCAAAGCCTCTCGCCACGTCCCTTTTGCCTACCCTCATTTGGGGCTTCAAGGATGGGGCTGGGGTGGCACCCAGTCTGTCTTAGGGTGCTCCCTGTGGTAGGTTCTGGCCTTCATTTTGGGTTGTTGCTGTGTGCATCCAAATTTTGTTTCCCAGCTGGGAGCTAGGGTCAGGGAGGGAGTCTGCGTGGGCTTCACTCCACTATGGCCTCTTGGAGAACGGCCCCGCATGGGGACCGCCTGTCGCCTGACTGTCCGCCTCCGCAGAGAGTGGCGGGAGCCCGGACGTGCTGCAGATGCTCAAGATCCACCGCAGCGAGCCGCAGCTGATTGTGCAGTTGCGTTTCTGCGGGCGCCAGCCCTGCAGCCGCTTTCTCCGCGCTTACCGCGAGGGGTCGCTGCGCGCCGCGCTGCAGGGGTGCTTGGGGGCGGCTCTCGCCCTGCACTCGGTGCCGCTGCAACTGGAGCTGCGCGCCGGCGCGGAGCGGCTGGACACCTTGCTGACGGATGAGGAGCGCTGTTTGAGTTGCATCTTCGCTCAGAAGGTGCGGCTGGGCTGGGGCCGGGTTGGGGTGGGGCGGGGATCCGCGGTTAAGATGCCCACCGACGCCGCACTCCCCTCCCTAGCCTGACCGGCTCCGGGACGAGGAACTCTCTGAGTTGGAGGACGCACTCCGGAATCTGACATGTGGCTCGGGGAGCCAGGGTGGCGACATGGAGGTCGTTCCAGCGCCCTCGCAGTCCCTGGCCACCTCTCTCTCAGAGGAGAAGCCTCCGCCGCCGCTGCCGCCGTCTGGCCAGACTTTTCTGTTCCAGGGCCAGCCCATAGGTGAGGCGCGCGCAGAGTCGAGGCAGGGTCCTCAGGAAGATGGAGTTTGGGGAGGAGCAGGGTCTGGGCCGGGTAGTCGCCGGGCGGGAATGGAGGGGTACGGGTCTTGGTCTCCTCAAGCTCACTCTGCTTCCCACTCCCGCCCCCCCACCCCCCACCCCCCCCACCCCTCCCCGCTCCGCAGTGAACCGGCCGCTGAGCTTGCAGGACCAACAGACGTTCGCGCGCTCAGTGGGTGTTAAATGGCGCAAAGTGGGGCGCTCCCTACAGCGAGGCTGTCGTGCGCTGCGGGACCCGGCGCTCGACTCACTGGCCTATGAGTATGAGCGCGAAGGGCTGTACGAGCAGGCCTTCCAGCTGCTGCGGCGCTTCGTGCAGGCCGAGGGCCGCCGCGCCACGCTGCAGCGCCTGGTAGAGGCCCTTGAGGAGAACGAGCTCACCAGCCTGGCAGAGGACTTGCTGGGCCTCGCGAATTCCGATGGCAGTCTGGCCTAACCTGAGTACCAGAAAAAGGGGGGATCGGCCAGTTGCCCAGCAGCGTTTGGAACACCTGGATGACCCTAGGGTCCCTTCTGCTGCTATTGCGGAGCTCCTGTCCATCCACGGGACTCTGAGACCACACTGATAACCCCACTTAGCCCACCTGTTGGAGCTGCTGGGTAGTGTTGACTGCCTTCTCCAGGAGTTGGGCAAGCACCCACCATTCCTGTTGGGGTGCCACTGGGGATTTGGCCCCAGATACTGTGATATAGACAAAGTGCATGGGTCACCTGCTCCAGCGGTCTGCCCATCCCAAATGAGGGGCTTCTGGCCAGCCCTTACCTCTTCACTCATTGAACAACTAACTCATTAAGCACTTGCTGTGTCCTAGCCATCATCCTGGGTGCTGCAAATACTGTGGTGAACAAGATACACGAAACCTGCCTGCCCCCAGTTCATACTCAGTGTTGGACTGCAGATTTTAAGCAACAGCAATAAAATATTACCCGTTTTTTTATGTGAAAAATACAAAAAGTTGGGGTGCTCTGAGCAGGTGCCTAACCCAGGTTAGGCTTCCAGGGAGAGATATGAGGGTGGCGGGTTGAGGGAATGGCAACATTCTGGACATAGCCAGTCTTGGGTGAGGTCTTGAGGAAAGTTAGAAGAACAGAGGATGTTAGAAGAACAGAAAATTTGGAGTGGCTAGATCTAGGGGTAGCGGGTGGGTTTGCAAAGAGAGCAGTTGGTGAGTGTGGGAGGCAGATAGCTCAGGGTCTGGTAAGCCATTTTACAGATTTTGGATTTTACACTGAGGCCAGTGAGAAGCATTTAGAGAGTTTGGGGAGTTAAGGTGGGGAGGCTGGTGAGGAGGGAGAAGAGGGAGAGGTGGAGGGTGGGAGGGTAGGGGTGGAGGCCCAGGCTAGGGCAGTGGCAGCAGAGATGGAGGGAAGGGATGAACACCGCGAACTGTTTAGGATGAAAGGTAACAGGCCTAGTGACACTGGATGAGGAGTGAGAGTGCAGGAGGACCTCAGAGTTTGCCTTTTTCAGTCTGATGGAGGGCGGGGCTGCCTGCTCAATTGAGGGGGCCCTCAATCTCCAGAACAACTCTCTGCCCACTGGGGTCCCAGATCAAACCCTTTACTCACTGGCCGACTTCAGGAATCCCTCCAGCTGAATCATCCCTGCCAGTCCAATCTGGCCTGCAGTGACCCAGGCTTGGTTATTTCTGCCTGTAGGAGGCTATGCTGGACTATGCTGGTGTGGGGTACTAGGGTCCAGGGGGCCCAGAGGTACCTCTGGGGAGACAGACTGAAGTGCTCCACTGTGAAGTTAAAGCAGAGAGGGTTGGCCCCTGTCCTGTATCCTAGTGGATAGATGCAGAGAGGGGCAAGGGAGGGCAGAGCAAAGAGTCCCAGACTGAATTCCAGAAGACCTAGGGCAATGCTCTGAATTTCTGCCTGTATGATGCTGGGCACGTCACTTAACTCCCTGAGGGGCAGTGTCCCCATCTGCATGAGCAATGAGAGCTGCTACCAGAGTTGTGAGAATTGAATCTGGTGGGTCCGTGTGTGTGTGTGTGTGTGTGTGTGTGTGTGTGTGTGTTTGCTGGGGTGGGAGGGGGGCATGACAGAACCAGGAGTAAGGAGGCAGCTGTATGTCCCGGGCCATTTATGATTATAGGTCCTGCCTGGTTGAACCTGGGCTGCTGGTGAGCTGAGGAGAGCCGCTTCCAAGGATAGCCTGGGATGGTGGCCAAGTAGATGCCTAAGACGCTCAGCCTCGGGGATTTGGGATCCGCCAGCCCTGGGCTCCTGCCAGCCCAGGCCCTGCCTCACTCCGGAGAGGTGGGGGTAAGGAGATTAACCAGAGAGGCTAAGTTTCTTCCTACCCCCACCAAAAGGCAGAGTTGGGGAGTTTGAGCGCGCACCGAGGCCAGAACCCACCGCCTCCGGCCTTCCCAGAGAGAGCTGCCCGTGGGGATCCCTCTCAGAGATCAGTCCTCACTAGGAGACTGCGCTCCCCGCGGCGCCGGGGCGGAGCTGAGCTCCAGATGTCCAGGCGCGCACAGCTGGAGGGTCACGTGGCAGCGGCCCCGGCCCCCCCCTTCCTGCCAACGCTGCATTTGGCCCAAGCCCCGTCCATGGCTGCCCTTGGGACCCTGCGCTGAGCCCCGGAGGCCCTGGCGTCCGGGGCTGCGCCACTCCCAAGGGACAAGCGTGAGTGTCGGGATCCCAAGGACCGACGTGGTGGGTAGGGAGGGGGTAGAAGGGATTCGGCTTCAGTGCGGGAAGGGCGGGCGGGGAACGGGGCCGAGCTCGGCGTCTCCAGGCCTTAGGTAACCGTCCCGGGCCAGCGCTGAGGGGGGTGGGGACTCGCTACTAGGAGAAACTTCCAGCCCCTTCAGGGTACCCAACCCAGTGTGTGGGGGTGTGCCACGGCCCAGAGCAGGAGAACGCCGGAGGGGGATGATTGGCCGGTAGCGGAGACCCTCGGCGTTTGGCCTCCGCCCCTTCCCCTCGGGGAGACCGAGGCCGGGAACTCCTCCCGGCCAATGGCTTCCGCGTCGCGAACCCCTGACTGAGTCTTTCCGTAGGGGGCGCGGGCGCCAGCCACGCGGACATGAGGCGGAGGCTGCGCCTCCGCGGGGACGCGTCGCTCACGCTGCTCCTCGGCGCCGCCCTCGGCCTCCTTCTCTACGCACAGCGCGAGGGCGCGGTCCCGACGACAAGCGCCCGGCGAACGAAAGGGAAGGCAGCGCCAGGGCCCACTCCGGGACTCCGCGTCTTCCAGGCACCGGACGCAGGCGCAGCCCCGGCCCCGCTGGCCTACGAAGGGGACACACCGGCGCCGCCCACACCCACGGGGCCCTTTGACTTTGGCCGCTACCTGCGCGCCAAGGACCAGCGGCGCTTCCCCCTGCTCATTAATCAGCCGCACAAGTGCCGAGGAGATGGCGCACCTGAAGGTGGACCCGACTTGCTCATCGCCGTCAAGTCAGTGGCGGCGGACTTCGAGCGGCGCCAAGCCGTGCGCCAGACGTGGGGTGCTGAGGGTCGCGTGCAGGGGGCGCTCGTGCGCCGCGTGTTCTTGCTGGGCGTGCCCAGGGGCGCGGGCACAGACGGGGCAGACGCGGAGGGGGAGGGCACGCGAACCCACTGGCCTGCCCTGCTGCGTGCTGAGAGCCGCGCGTACGCGGACATCCTGCTCTGGGCTTTCGACGACACTTTCTTCAACCTAACGCTCAAGGAGATTCACTTTCTCGCCTGGGCCTCGGCCTACTGCCCCGACGTGCGCTTCGTTTTTAAGGGCGATGCAGACGTGTTCGTGCACGTGGGGAACCTGCTGGAGTTCCTGGCGCCGCGGGACCCGGCGCAGGACCTGCTTGCGGGCGATGTGATTGTGCAGGCTCGGCCAATCCGGGCGCGGACCAGTAAATACTACATCCCTGAGGCGGTGTACGGCCTGCCCGCCTACCCGGCCTATGCGGGTGGTGGTGGCTTTGTGCTTTCGGGGGCCACGCTCCGTCGCCTGGCCGGCGCCTGCGCGCAAGTTGAGCTTTTCCCCATTGACGACGTCTTTCTGGGCATGTGTCTGCAGCGCCTTCGGCTCACACCCGAGCCCCACCCTGCTTTCCGGACCTTTGGCATCCCCCGGCCGTCAGCAGCGCCGCACCTGCGCACCTTTGACCCTTGCTTTTACCGGGAGCTGGTTGTAGTACACGGGCTCTCGGCCGCCGACATCTGGCTTATGTGGCGCCTACTGAATGGGCCCCAAGGGCTAGCCTGTGCCCATCCGTGGCCTGTCGCTGCTGGCTCTTTCCAGTGGGGCCCCTAGCCACCTTCATGGCCCCAAGCTCCCCTCACTCAGACCCAGGATGATTATTGCCGTGTATGTAGTTCTTTCCCAGAGGCGGAAGATTTCAAAAATCTATCCCATATCACCAGAGGTCTGCCTCCACAAGTCCCCAGGGAATTAAGATTGAACTTGGCTCCTGCTGGCCTACCTTATTCGGAGCTGATCTAGAACCACCTCAATGGTAGCCCTTTAGGACAGCCAGGGCTGAGGTCTTAGAGCAGCAGGCTCTACCAAACAGGTGGACATGTTTGGCCCTCCTACTACCAAGTAGGTTTTTGGGGTTTGGGGATGGGTGGTCGCAGAGGCTCATGGAATCTGACCTCTGACCATACTCCTTGATTTGGAAGTCCTAGAGTGATGCAAATGCAGGTCTCTCTCAAGGCTGGAGGAGGTGTGCGGTCCTGGAACTGGCAGGCATTTTGCTACAACTCAATCTGAAGGTAGGCATTTTGCTTCCCACCTGCCCATCCAAATTGGATTTTCAGCCCTGTACTGATCTTTAGATCTTCTTCTGAGGTGTCCCTTCCCGAAGCCAACCCCTCCTGGGCCCTGGTCTGGCTGGAACACCAGGGATGGACGCACACAGGGACAAACAAGTGCATGGTCCTACCTAGAGTCTTTTCTCACCACATAAGAATTTACACACACACAACAGTGTCAGTCTCTTACTAGAGGCTGTGCTGCCCCACTCAGACACACCGGCGTCGGTGTGTCTGAGAAGAGCCAAGGAACCTAAGATGTCTCCACCATAAAATTTCCCATATCCTTCACCCACTTTCTTAAAAATCAACACCCCCAGGCTTATTTTAGTACAAACATCCCAGCAACAGCACATGGTGAGCAGCTGCTGAGGGCACAGGTTTTTATTGGAGGGGTATGGGCAGGGCATGAGGAACGTTCCCCTATTCTGGGAAGATGGGGAGAGTCCTGGCTGCCCCTACAGGGGGATGTGTGTGTGGGTCTCTGGCCAGGCCACAGTCCAAATGGGAAGACACCAGTCAGTCACAAAATTATGGGAACGCCACACAAGCCTGGCTGTAAGCCCAGGAACCACCTAGGAGCCTGGGGCAGGTCCCCTCCACATTCATTGTTAAACTCTACAGGATGAGGCTGTACATGAGTTAATTACAAAAGAGTCATATTTACAAAAATCTGTACACACATTTGAAAAACTCACAAAATTGTCATCTATGTATCACAAGTTGCTAGACCAAAATATTAAAAATGGGGTAAAATTATACATTTCTCTTCTCAAATCTTTTCAAAAGGATTATTTTTAAAGCACATATGCTACTTTCCTTAGCAAGACCCATGAAAAGACTGAGCAGCCCAGCCTTCCTTGAGCCCCCAGAGGCCTTGAGCCATGAATGGGCCTGGCCAGGGGACATTGCCCAGGGTTGGGGCAAGAGAGCCAGCCCACAGTGCAGAACAGAATGCTGAAACAATAAAAGGAGGAAGATGTCTTTGGCTAAAACTTTGGCATTAAATAAAAGAGGCAAACAGGATGGAAACATGCAGCCTGCCAGCCAGGTTGGGGCAGAGCAGGGGCACAGGTAACCTTGAAGGCTGGCTCCAAGAGGGGTAGGAACCAGGCCTGGGCACATACCTGGATGGTAAAAAGCTGTGTTTCAATGAGTTGGGTGTGCCTACTGGGCCTGGTAGGGAGCACGTGCAAGGAAGGAACAGGGAAAGGCAGGTGGGCCACCTTGGCCACAGCCAGCTCATCAAGTAACTAAAGTGGATGTAGTGCAAAAGTCGCAACCAAGTACTATGGACATGCTACCTGCTTGCCTTAAGGGTCACGTGGCAATGATGGGCCAAAGGCAGGACCTCGTCCTCGTCCTGGGTGCCTGTGTCCTCAGCCACAGAAAGAGTCCCAACTTTTCCCAATGCGTGTGGAACAGGAGAGACAGAACTCTGCCTCTGTATGTGTTAGTCGAGGTCGCCTGGGTCCAGGTATCAAGGCTCAGAGTTTGTGCTTCTCTTTGCAGTCTGTGTCCTCTGTTGGCACCAGCAGGCTGAGGACGGACAGAGGAATATTTGGGCCTCTCACCCCATGGCAGAGCACCCAGTCTGAGCCCCACCTCAGAACATCACAACAGCCTTTCAACACTGGCAAGGTGTCCAAGAAAACCCACAGGGTGGCACATGGAGGCCCGCTGAATAGGATGCAATGCACAGCTCCACGGGGCAGAGGGGCATGGGTGGTGATGTCTTTAGGGGAGCTCCGCTGTTCTCAGGTGGGCACCAGGCCTGGGGGGGCCATACAGGGTCACCGAGGCAATATGGTTATTCTGCATGACCTGGTGTGAGAAGTGGACAATGAATCAAAGGGGAGGAGTAGAAGGGAGGCAAGCATGGTAGGCAATCAGATCCATAAAAACCACCAGTACTAGGGCTGTGACTGCAGATAAGGGATTTGGGGCAGCTCCTGTGCACAAAGAATGGACGTTGTGTGTGCGACACACCTGCACACAGGGCTGGGCTGATCCCTCAACATCCCCCAACTCATGCTAGGAGTCATCCTGGCCCAGCAACTGCCTGCTCTTCATGGGATAAACTTCACTATACCTATTTATCCAGTCCTTCTGTAACTGCTAGGGGCCTAGAGAAGGTGTAGCATCCAAAAGGAAGAGGGACAGCCCATTCTTCTCCCAAGCCAGTGGGGCCTCTATAGCCACTCACCCATAGCACATTCCTTCATATGGCATTCAAAGAACCCCAACAGTCCCATACTGAGCCCCATTTGCTCCCTGGGGTTTCCTTTCCTACCATATTTACGTTCTCACATATGTGGGATCCCCGCTACCTCTCATCTTGTTGGATAAGCCTACTGCTTTAGCCTCCATGACCTCGAATTTCCCCAACATAGTTTCTGTACTCTTACTGTTCAATGCGGGCAGGTCAGATTCTTAGCAGACAGGGCTACTGGGGAAGGATTAACTCACCGAGCAGGGCTGTTAAGCCCTCCCCAACCTTTCTCTATCACTTGCCTGTCCCTGCCATGGCCATCGGCCCCTCAACCCCCAGGGCTTACCTCAAAGATCATCCGCTGAAGACCAAAGCAGAATGTAGAGCCAAATGGGTTGGTGTTGTTTGGGGAGGAGGACCTGAGGCCAGGGAAGCCAGAATTAGAGGTGTAGACAGAAGCTGAGGCTAGGCAGGGCATCCAGTCCCTTTTGGGATGGGGGCTACTAGCCAGTGGTCTCTCATGGCTGTTTCCAACACGGGCCCTTGAAGTACCAGGGGTAGTGACAGGTATCATTCAAGCTCTGAATCCTATACAGCCCAATGAGGCACAGGAAGTTATTACACAGTTAGATTGGAGTGGAAAGTTAGGAGGGAGGAGCCTCAGGCAGCATGGCAACTGGGTAGGAAGCTGTACCTACAGCATGTGGCAACTTTAATGGGAAAAAAAGAGCCCAGGACAGCCAGTGAAAAGTGCTTCCTTTTCTGAATAACTAGGGGTAAAAAGCCCGCCTACCTGGAGAGGGGAGCTATCCCCAAGGGGTAACCTCTCTGGTGCAGGTAAACATGCAGAATAGCTGGCCCAGTGGTAATGTGCAGGGTGGGGGGCGAGAAGTATATTTGTGGCAACAACAGAAACTTCTGTCATTTCTAAGCCATAGGCACAGCTAGGCTTCCCTAAGTCTTCTGGGCTGTGAGGAGCAGGATGGGGTGGTCAGAGATAGCAACCTCCCACTCACCTATGCAGGACAACAGGCTTCTCCACAGGGTGACCCAGGAGATCCTGGATGTTGTCCCACTGCAAAAGGGATGGGGGCGGCAAGGGGTTAGCAGGGACCTAATCGTGACCAATGGCTGGCCCAGAAGACATGGGCCCCAGACTGCTGGCAGGCTCACACCCACCTCATTTTGGGGCTACATGAGGTGGGAAAATAGGAGCTCACCTTGCTGTAGGTTGTGCATGTTTCTGTCTGACCATCTGCATTTTCTGAAAAGAGAACACAGAGTGGGTTGGTAGCTGGTCCAGCCCACGTGTGACCCTAGCCCTAGGGAGAATCCAGACCTGGCCACCCTGTGCATTGGGGTTGGAGGACAGATGGGCTATTTCAGAGTTGCCGAATGGAAGAGGGTAGAGACAGCAGTCACAAGGCTGACCTGGGAGCACCTGGATAATCATGTGTAGGAAACTCTCCCCATCATGGACCAGCAATCCCACGATCATAGGAAAAGACCTTGAGAGCCTCCAGCAGACTACAGGCCAAAAAATGTGCAGCCCCAGAACACAGAGCCCAACCCAGAGGAGCTGAGGCTATGGGCAAAGCAGGTGGGCAAAGGTTCCTGCTACCATTTCTATCTGGATCACTGTGTGTCTGCATCATGAAAGACTAACTTCAAAACCCTTTTCTTACTCTGAGGATATTCACTACTCACCTTTCTTTACGGCTAGTGGGATCTTGAACTCACAGCGGTGATAACTAGAGAGAGAAGCCAGATGGATAAAGGCTGGGCCCCCTGAGAGACCTGACCACCTGCGCATCTCAACCCCACACCCCAGGAAACACAGAATGAACCCACCCCCAAAGCCCTGCTCTGGGGTCTGAAGACCCTGTCATCTTGGATAAGATACCAGGCTCTCTGAACCTACTTCCCTATTTGTAAAATGGGTACAAATGGAGACACGTTAAGGTATTGACACTGTACCAGGAACAGAGCAAACACTCAGGAAATGTTCATTTCCCACGAAACTGTAAGAATTCAGGTACAAATTAGTGAACATTCAAAGCTCTCTTTTCCTGGGAATTTTCAACCCAAAGCTCAGTTCTTGGGAGGGGCAGGTACAGGTATACTCACATGTTAAAATTATAATGCCCAGGGTAATTGGTGTGTAGGACAAACTTCTTCACTTTGTGTGTATTTGCATCAAAGAGGATATCCTGGGATAGAAAACAAGGATGTCCAAGTAGGGAAAATTACTGAGGCTGGGCAAGGGCCTTTCTAAGGGCATGTCCAACTCAAAGACAGCCACTCCATAAGGCGGATGCGTCTGGGCAATAGCTTTCTCCCAAACAACAGTCAAGAGGATAGCTGAGGCCAAACAGCCTTAACTGGACATTTTCAGTGAAGGGGGCACCCAATTATCTGCAGGCCCCTCATTCCAAACTTTGTAGCAGCAGACCCAGCAGACGCATGGGCTACAACTCCTACTGCCTGGGAACTCAAACACATCATGGAGACCTTTCCTAACAAGCACCTGATTATAAACTGAGCACAGATTTTGGCTTAAAGGCTGCCAAGAAGATTCAGGGACCACCTGAATTTCCAGTGGCTCAAGGCACCTACCTATTCTGAATGCCATGACTGGCCATTAGGCCCTCTCTATGGGAGTCAGCAACCCCTAGAACCAAAGGTCCAGCCTCTCACCAGGACTCAGACCTGGATTTGATGCTGCCCACCGAACACTTCTTCCTATCCCCCATACCCTCCCCAAGTTTCACATCCTGCCAGCCTTCTGGGCCTGTGACCTCAGGGTTACCTCTGACTCCAACCCTACATTAGCTACATAAGTCCTATTAGGGTTGGTCCATTTGTTCCATCTTCGTTGTCCCTTATCATCAGTGGCCCTTGAACTAGAGAGGTTCCACTTACAAAGTGCCATTCCCTCCTGCTACTGTCCTACCCTCAAGAGTTTATGACCCCACTGCTGTTCCCCCACTACTCCTGGCTCCACTATCTTTTTTTTTTTTATTTGACAGAGAGAGAGAGAGAGAAGCAGGCTTCCCGCTGAGCAGGGAGCCTGACATGGGGCTCGATCCCAGGACCCTGGGATCATGACCTGAGCCAAAGGCAGACGCTTAAGCAACTGAGCCACCCAGGAGCCCTCATTCCCACTGTCTTTGACCCTTTTTTAGTCTCCCTGTTTTGTGACTCCAGAAGAGGCTCCTGTGTTCTACAAATGGGCAGATCCCAAACTATGTTACCCTGAATGATTCCCACAGCCTCCACCCGAGCAGCGTGTTGCTCTCAATAAAGAAGCCAAGACATACCAGGGACCCAGTGTTTCTGAGCAATCTCAGTGGTAGGGAAGGCCCACTTTAGGGTACCAATGCAAGACTACCGGGCAAAGCCAGCTGGAGCTGGTTTCCCTGCTGCCAGGCATGGTTACAGCTCCATGTGGACACAAAGATGTGCCCAGGTGCATGGTCCACCACCACAGAAATGAAACATTTCTCTAAGGAATCACAACTTACCACTCCAAGAGTGAAGTAGTTAAAAAAGTAGTCATTGCACTTGGATGGAACTTGTTTATGAGGGGAAGGAGAATGAATTTTCATCTGTTGGGAAGAAAATAACAACAAATTAAAATCCCAACTCCTTAATACACTTCTCAGATTAACTAAAAGTCCACAAACTGTGTTTTGGGTATAACATTAAGCTGCTGGGTAAGCAGGAGTGTCACTGTCCCTGCTACTGCTGAACAGTGCAGCCAGCTTTGGCTGACCACAGACTGGGCCCTGGTCTCCCAAGAAAAGGCAGGATAATCTGACCAACAGTATCAGGAAAGAGCTTTCAATTTAATTCTTTATCAGTCTTAACAGAACAGGTTCTATGGAAAAATAATAAAGTTTATATTTATTTGATATTAAGTTAATATTAATAAAAAAGAAGGACGCCGCCTGGCTGGCTCAGTCAGTAGAGCATGTGACTCTTGATCTCAGGATTTTGAGTTTGAATCCCACCTTGGGGGCAGAATTTACTTAAAAGGAGACTGCCTATTTGACTTTATAAACACATTTCCCCTACCTTGTCTTCTGACTTATAGAAGACCTTGTGCGGAGAGCCAAGCATGCTAAGAACATCCTGGCAGGAATCACCAAAATACACTGAACGTTCAAATACCCGCATCTTGGCATCTGCTAATAGGCCAGGTCCACAACCTGCAGAGAGTAAGTGAAAGGTGGTCAGGTTCCCCCCCAGAGCCTGAGATCCTGCAGCGTAGGGCCAAGGGGGCCCCAGAGAGGACAATGGCTGCACGCTGCATTATTAGCTCTAGCTAATAAAAATAGACTGCATAAAAACAGAAATACCAGGTCACAAGGGCTTGCGATGCTACAAGAGATAACTATCTACTTGAAATAATCCCAGAGAGGGGCGCCTGGGTGGCTCAGTCGGTTAAGCGTCCAACTCTTGATTTTGGCTCAAGTCATGATCTCAGGGTGGTGAGATTGAGCCCCGAGTTGGGCTCATGCTGGGCGTGGAGCCTGCTTAAGATTCTCTTTTTCCCTCTTCCTCTGCCCCTCTCCCTTGTTTCCCTCTCTAAAAAAACCTAAAACAAACAAACAAAAAAACTGAAAAGAAAAAAAAAAAGAAAAGAAATAATCCCAGAGACTCATTCAATCCCACAAAAGTGAGGTGGAACTCTGAAAACTTCATTCATTCACTCACCAAATATTTACTTATTGACTACCATGGGCTAGACACTTTGTTAGATATTGAAGAAACATGCTGAGCAAAACAAGTGCAGTCTCCGCCCATATTGGAGCTTATGGTGTGAAGATCCCAATCTGACGCCACCCAACTGTGGTACAATACACAGCAGCATATATGCTATGGAAGTATATAATGAGGTGCTATTATCTCTTGCCACTTTCCAGGTCCTGACAAGATACAAGAATTTATGTTAAGAGGGGCTTCTCAATGGTAACCAGAGACTGGACCTCAAGATCACTCTATAGAAAAGCCAAGAGTGAAACATCCATTAACTCACTCCCTAATTCTACAAACACTGATAGACCCAGTAACACTCAAAAATGACAAACCAGAAAAGTGGGAGGATAAGAAAATCCAATTTGCCAAAAGTTTCTTCTTCGGGAAGACTGTTTAAACCCTGACTCTAATACATTTTGGAAACAATTCCAGTTAAACACACACACATAGCAGTAGATGTGGAATAGCAACAGACACACCAACTCTGTGGATGGGAAGACAAAGTGTTTTACTTCCCCTACACACACACACACACACACACACACACACACACACACAAGAACCTGAGGAAGACTGCATTTCCTGGTACATGATAATCACCATCACCTTACTCTACGCAGAGCTTTAGAGATGACAAAGCTCTTCCATGTATAACAATCCATTTGTTATATAGGGAAGACCTCAGGGATCCAACATCTGAAATAAATTGGTACTGAGTTCTTCAACTAACCCAAGAGTCTTTAGTCACAGCACATATACACTGAGTGGCAAATAAAGGTTGTGTTTAACTAGGTCGCAGGAAAAGCATAGCCCACGTTAACCTCTGGTCTATAAATCTTGCTGCTTAGGCAAGCTTGGGTGACCTACAGAACCCACCAAAAGTCCTGTCAAGCTGGACTGTATGCCCAAAGTCTCCAAGTACCAGACACTTGCAAATGTCCAGATGGGGCCACAGGGAAGGCACTCTTCATGTGTGAGTCTTCTCTCTTATCTCACCCTATCTGAAGCCTACCCAGGGAAAATACCCTTAGTTTTAGGAGACTATTTTAGCTTCTGATTCCCTGGAGTGAATCTTCCTATAAGTTATTGTGGGGACTAAGACAGTTGAAATGACTTCCTATCTTAAAAACATCCCAGTAGCTACACTCCATAAGGAAACATGTGAGAAATGGGTTGGTTGACACAAGCTACCTTTCTGCTTGCCAAGGGAAACTCTCAATGAGTACTAGATTGGACAGTAATTTGGTGAGTCCCTGACTTCACGTGTTTCCCCCACTGACCCTGTGAGATGTGACTGCTGGGAGTGTGCTGTACAGGACGGCAGTCACAATTGGAGGAGATCCCCCACCCCTGACAGACTCCTCCTGCTGTCACCTGGTATAACTGCATCATCCTTGACTACCCTGCTGTTTCAAGGTGTGATCCTCCTGACAAGAGAGACCCTAAATCACTTGACCTTCTACATCTCAATTCTCAATCTCAATTCTCTCAAACACTATAGCTCAAGTGCAACATTCTTTTAAGTAGAGTTTTCTTCCTTGGCTAGAAAACCACATTTCAAGAAATTCCTAACCTGGAAGTTGTAAACTATCTAATTGTTCAGGGGAGTGAGCTCACAGTTTATATATCAGACTCTTCATAGGTAAGAACCAGTGCCCTAGAAACTGATGTAAGACCCCAATTTATGAACAAACACTGGCTAGACTATGAGCTCCATGAAGGCACAGCTCCTATGCTGGCTCCAAGGCCAAAGACATGGCCGGTACTACCAAGCATGGCCCAAGGTCCACAGTAGCTGAAACTGGTCACTTACAAGGAAATCACAAATAAGGCGTGGATCCTGGTGAGACCAGCCACTGAAGGCAGCAGCTTTTTGTTCATAGTCAGCAAAACTCACAGCAGGGTCTGGCCAAACCACAATTCAACAAGTCCCTGCTGCCAGCCTACTGAGAACTGGGCATAAAGGGTGGAAAAGGGAATGGGGCACCTGGGTGGCTCAGTTGGTTGAGCGTCTGACTCTTGGATTCCGCACAGGTCGTGATCTCAGGGTCGTGGGAATGAGCCCCATGTCACGCTCTGTGCTCAGTGTGGAGTCTGCTAGAGACTCCCTCTGCCCTCCCCGCTGTGTGCTCTAAAATAGGTAAATAAATCTTTAAAAAAAAAAAAAGATGGAAAAGGGGAGAACAGACCAATATCGCAGCCCATAAGACACATCTCCAGTAAACAGCCTGGGAAGCACTGCAAAACTACATAAGCACACAGAAGGCTTATGCACATCCTAGGGAAAGCAGTGCTACTATCATTTATTAAGATTTGCTAATGATAAAACTATGTCTTGTCCCTTCACAAATTTAAATGAAAGCTTTAACCATAAATATCCACGTTGTCTTGTACCAACTATCTCTAAGCATGTGGGATTTTAGATTGTCTCAACATGGATATAATGGAGAATTCACCACCCCAAGGCGAGTTAACTGACCTGCAGCAAGTAGCCGAAGTCGTAAACCTGAGGGTCCAGTTCCATCTCGAAGAACATCCACACTCTCAGCATACACATTGCCAAGGAAACAGGTGAGGGGCATCACGGGAGCCCTGGAGGCAGGCACAGAATGAGCAGAGGCTTTCCCCTCCCTCCCAGGGAGCCCAGGGCCCGTGAAGTTTGTGCTCCCCACACATACTTTGTATCCTGTAGGCTGTTTCCACTGTAGATGTACATTCGTTTCACAGTCGCCCCGTGGGGTATCTGGAGAGAAGCTAGACCGTGGGCAAAATTGGGCTGCAAACATAAGACAACAGTTTTACTAAGAGCACACTGCAGGCCATGGGAGCCAGGCTCTAGCATTTCCCCAGCCCTCATGGGCCAGGTCAAAGCACACAATCAAACCCGGCTCCGTGTCAATCAACTCCCCCCATCCATAGAGGTTCATCTTTAATTTTACTTAATTTTTCCTTCTTTCATCAAGAAGAAATTACAGGAATGCTTTCTTTAATAAAATGGAAGCTTTACAAACATCTATCATTTCACGACCCTAAGGATGTTGCTACCTAAGGATGAACGAAACAATTTGCTAAAAACCACAGTGATTTGGAGTTTTAAAGCAAGGCACAACTGAGTTTCTCTCTGAAAAGGGAGCCTGACCTCACTCTGCAGTGGGAAGTGCCCTCTTCCTGGGAATGCCGGCTTGGGCTTTGTTCTTGCTATCAATCCCACCCACTGTGCCCATCCTGGCCTCTGAAGACCTGAGAGATGAGGAAACCAAAGAAAGGCTACCTATCCAGCGTCCCCAGTGGCACTGTCTGTTGGGTCCATATTACCTGGATACTGGGTGACAAATACCATAGGAAGGGAAGGGCTAACCTCATACTTGGGAGCCTCGGTCCATGAGTCTAACTGAAAAGAGAAAGACAGTCCTCTGAAGTTGAGGTGGAAGAGCTGCTCAGCGGAGTTGTACACTGTGGGAATGGGAAGGAGAAAATGACATGGTTGAATGGCATCAGAAGATGTGAACACAAACCAGCTTGGCAACACCTTCCTTGTGTCTGGTTCCTGAACTGACCTCCTAGGCTGAAAACAAGGGGGGAGAAGCTTTCCTTCACACCCAACTATCAATCCTCAAATTCTACAGGAACTTGGCTTCAGGGGTGCTGGGGTTGCGACAGATGATAAAAGGAAATCAGATGGACTTGGGCTTACCTCCAGGATGGGTTGCACCAAAAGACTGGTCAATCTGCTCAATGGTGGGAGCTATGGCCTGAGAGTTAAAATGCACTCCACTGAAAAACAAAGATGCTTTTCAAATCACTGAAGATGGTGGCTGGAAGAGTTATTCTTAAAACATAGGCAGTTGAGTTTACAAGTATGCCAAAACACAAGTTTAATTAAAGAACTTTTAAGTGAGGAATAATTAATGAAGTCAGAACAAGTCAAGTGTCCTGAGGCTGACAGACACAATTGATCCTTAGGGCCTCCCAAGACATGTATGGTCATCGGGCAGTTTAGAAGGAAATAAATTCAGTCTCAGCCCCACGGCATTTGGACTTGGATCAAGAATGGCCACAGGAATAGAAAGTGTTAATGTGTTTTCCTAGGATGCCTACTAAGAGCTTGGCTTCAAAAGAAACTTTCTTAAAAGGGGATGGACATCTTAAAAGAACAGTATAGCCAAGCAAGGCAGCTTGTTTTCTTTCTTTCTCTCTTTTTTAAGATTGTATCATTTATTTGAGAGAGACAGGGCGAGCAGGGAGGGGAAGAGGGAGAGGGATAAAGAATCTGAAGCAGACTCCACTCTGAGTACAGAGCCCCACATGGGACCTCAAGATCATGAGCTGAGCCGAAACCAAGAGTCCGATGCTTAACCAACTGAGCCACCCAGGCGCCCCAAGCAGCTTGTTTTCTTAACAGCCAGCACTCAAGGACTGGGTGAATGGGGGGAGGGGGAGAGATGGATCCCATGAAAAGCGGAAACACCTGAGGGGGAGGGGCTCGGGAAATGAAGAGGAACACGTGATTTCAGATGATGAGCATGAAGATATGGCACGTATGACTTTAAGAAGAATGCTTAAGGGCGCCTGGGTGGCTCAGTTGGTTAAGCGACTGCCTTCGGCTCGGGTCATGATCCTGGAGTCCCGGGATCGAGTCCCACATCGGGCTCCCTCCTCAGCAGGGAGTCTGCTTCTCCCTCTGACCCTCTTCCCTCTCGTGCTCTCTCTCATTCTCTCTCTCTCAAATAAATAAATAAAATCTTAAAAAAAAAAAAAAAAGAAGAAGAATGCTTAAGGGGCGCCTGGGTGGCTCAGTCGTTAAGTGTCTGCCTTCGGCTCAGGTCATGATCCCAGGGTCCTGGGATCGAGCTCCACATCGGGCTCCCTGCTCGGCGGAAAGCCTGCTTCTCCCTCTCCCACTCCCCTGCTTGGGTTTCCTCTCTCGATGTCTCTCTCTGTGAAATAAATAAATAAAATCTTAAAAAAAAAAAAAAAGAAGAAGAATGCTTAAAGGTTAAGAATATTTTTTTAAATTAGCATAATTCATGGAACACCTCTTTTTTTTTTTTTAAAGATTTATTTACTCATGGGGGGGGGCAGAGGGAGAGGAAGAGAGAGTCTCAAGCAGACTCCATGCTCAGTGCTTAATCCCTTAACCCTGAGACCACGACCTGAGCTGAAACCAAGAGTTGGATACTCAACTGACTGCACCACCCAGGCGCCCAAGAACACTTTTTTTTTTTTAAGCAGTAAGTTTTTAGATTTTTTATTTTATTTGCTTATAGAGAGAGAGCACAGGCAAGGGGGAGCAGCAGGCAGAGGGAGAAGCAGGCTCCTCGCAGAGCAAGGAGACTGATATGGGACTCCATCCCACGACCTGGGATCACGACCTGAGCCAAAGGCAGACGCTTAATGACTGAGCCACCCAGGCGCCCCAGAATACCTGTTTTTTAACCAGGCATGGTGCTATATGCTTTGCCAGCAGTGTCTCATGTCCTCTTCCTAACCCAGCAGCCATATTACTGGCTTCATTTCTCTGATGGTAATACAAACTCTGAGAGGTTAAATGACTCCCCAGGTCACAGAGGTAACAGAATGATGAACCCAGGGCAGGCTGACCCCGGACCCCATGCTTTTACTTACCACTAACTCTTAAGAGGGAAAAGAGATGGGGCACCTGGGTGGCTCAGATGGTTAAGCATCTGCCTTTGGCTTGGGTCATGATCCTAGGGTTCTGGGATTGAGCCCCACACTGGGTTCCCTGCTCAGCGGGAAGCCTGCTTCTCCCTCTCCCTCTGCCTGCTGCTTCCCCTGCTTGTACACTCTCTCTCTCCGTCAAATATAAATAAAATCTTTTAAAAAATAAAAAAGAGGGAAAAGAGAAACCAGACCTTAGGTACAAAGGCTCCAACAAAACTGAAAGACAAAAAGAATCTGCAGGGACCAGTGCTATTACACATTTGCTTGATCCACTTCTCTGTCGGTAAATGCTGCTTGAGCCAGCCCCAGGAATTGGGCCCTTTCATGCCCCAACAAAGGGAAAGGGAAGCTGTTAAGGAAGCTTACCATATGGAGTGTCCTGGATGCTAGCACAGTGCCTTGCCATAATGGGAGCTCAAATATTTGTTTTATGATACAGACTATTCCCATTTTCATTCTAAAAAGTAGATTTTGGGGGCGCCTGGGTGGCTCAGTTGGTTGAGTGTCCAACTCTTGATTTTGGTTCAGGTCGTGATCTTGAGCCCCATGGTGGGTTCCATGCTCTGCACGGAGTCTGCTTCTCTCTCTCCCTCTGCCCCCTCCCCCAGTGCTTGCTCTCTCAAATAAATAAATAAAATCTTAAAAAAAAAAAGGAGTGCCTGGGTGGCACAGTCGGTCAAGCATGTGATTCTTGGTTTCAGCTCAGGTCATCATCTCAGGATTTCAGGATTGTGAGATCGAGCCCTGGGTCAGGCTCCATGCTCAGTGGAGTCTGCTTAGGTCTGTCTGTCTCTCTCTCTGTTCTGCCCCTCCCCACTGCAGGCACTTGCTCTCTAAAATAAGTAATTTTTTTTTTTTTTTTAAGATTTTAATTATCCATCTGACAGAGAGAGAGAGAAAGAGAGCAAGCACAAGCAGGGAGAGCAGAAGAGGGAGAAGCAGGCTCCCCACCTGAGCCACCCAGGCGCTCCAATAAATCTAAAAAAAAAAAAAAAAAAGTAGATTTTTGGCCCCCAAACAGCAGTCCCTTTGGCGTTCTCTTTAGCATTCATAGGCTTTGGAGTCAGACCTATTGTGGGGGGGGGGGGGAGGATGGCAGCTGTGACCCACAAGACAGTCATATCACCTCTAAGCTGAGGTCCTGCTTTGTTGTGAGGATTAAATGAGCTGACACATATGAGAAGTGTTTTACACACAGCATGTCCTTAATAAGATTTCCTTCTCTTCCCCAGAAAGCTGAGTAGGTGTGGAGGCTGCCTGAGGAAATCATGGCACCAGGCTATAATCCTAGAACTGCTATGGATGGGAATCCTTCACTAACTTAATGAGGATAATAGATAAACTCCATTTGTACCAATCCTGTGACATACCAGTGGGGGAGTAAACTTACCAATATTTTAACTTTACTTTAGTCAAGTCATATACTTCAATCACCTAAAAAAAAAAAAAAAAAATCCAATGTTTAAGCATTGGTAATGCTCTGCAGTTGAAAAAGATTGACTAAAAAGACATTTATAGAGGGATGCCTGGCTGGCTCAGTTGGTAGAGCATGTGACTCTTGATCTTGGGGTTGTGAGTTTGAGCCCCTTGTTGGGTGTAGAGATCACTTAAAAATAAAATCTTAAAAAAAAAAAGATATTTACAAAATAGTGAAGAAAAAAAATCTATCACTAGTCAGAATTCTCCTGAAGCACCACACATTATATTTTGTTCTCATTTTTAAATCTGGAGGAAAAACCCATACCACACACACAGCATAACCTCTCCTTTTCCTTCTTCCAGTGGATCACTCAACAGATGGCCATGGATGCTGCAGGTGAAGGTTCCTCTATCTAATCTACTACTGGGTCATACAGAGGACTGCACATACAGAACCATGAAACCCTCCACAGAAACAAATCACGTAGCTTAAAGGTTAAAGCTGTACCTTTGGATGTTGAGCCCTCTTCCTTTTATTCCACACTTTGCTGTATTAGAAAGACCCCAAATCAATTCACTTTAAAAAACAGCTTTAAAATACTTTAGTTTACAAAACAAAAAGATTGGGGCTGGGTCTATCCTGCTAGAAAAGAAGTTATATAACATTAGGTTAGGACAAGTGTGACAGTATTCATATATCTACATCTATATCTAGATATAACTATTGAAGGGCACCTGGAGAACCTCAGGACCCTTGTGTCATTTCAAGGGGTTCAGCCTTGGATTAAATGCCAAGAACTCAGGCCAGAGACAAAAGTATTGAACACTGAGTCACTAGTGGTGCCAAGTAATGAGCACTATGAAGTCTTCTATGCTAATGGTGTCAAGGGCTTGGGAGCCAGAAGCATGGCTGGCTGGGGCCTAGAGCACCAGCTACTATCCTCCAGTTGGGAGTCCTGACCTTCACTGTAGAGGAATAAGAACAGCTGGTTCAATGTCCACTTGCCCTGAGGGCCTCATCCTACAAGGGGCCATGGGGCCCTGTGTGTAGAAGCATCTGGCACTGCCACAGAAAATGAGACATAATAGGCAGTTTACTCTTGGCCAGACCTTATCCCTAACTTTGTTTAATGATCCTAACACTGAACCACAAGTTGGGCACCTCTTAATTATAATGCAGCTATTCTGATCCTACTTACTGCTAAGAGTAACTCCCTCTGCTGGGCCATCACAGCACTTCAATCAACTCTCCTATGCTACTTGTTTATGCTGTTCACTAGTCCCACAGAATTAAGCCCTTTAAGGTCTGGCTTATTATTTCACACAGGAAAGGTACTTAAAACGTCTGTCAAGTCTCACTGTTATGAAGCTAGCTACGGGCAATATGAAGCTAGAAAGCATGAAAAGAGGTGCCAAGAGAGGTCATACAAGGAAGGACAGAGGAACAGCTGTGATTCAAAAGATACCTAGTGTCCCCTTCAGAAAGCCTGTATCATGCCAAACTGGTATGCCATTTCACCAAGGCCAGGGCCCCATGCTGGCAGAAAGCCTCAACCTTTAGCCAGAAGCCTTACTTATATAGCAGGTGCAGGCACTCTGCCTCCCTGATTGCCACCCCTACAACTGGCCAATGATGACCCACCACTCATCCTGTGGGGTAGGCCTCGAAGATATTCCTTCTGTGTCATTACTACCCACCTGCCAATAATCCAGACCAACATTTTGGGTGTTTCAACCCTGCCTGCCTAATGGGAGAACAGTGGACCAGAGTTAATCACAGGGCCTATGTATGACAGCAATTGTGGCAAGAGACCCATCTTGGAGTCCTTCATGTCACCAGGAGAATCAACAAGCAGATTTTGGCCCATGGAACTTGCTGGGCCACAGGGACAACCAGCTGGGGAAGTCTGAAGTCCATGATTTACCATCCTCTTGGCTGGAAAAGGCCTTGAATTCCCCAGAGGAGAAGCCATGGCAGCAGCCAAGACGGGAAATGAAAAGACAGGTAGTTGTAAAGGATGAGATTTGTGAAGTCTCATTCCACAGGGCTTTCTCACAGATAGGGAGTCAAGGCATCAGGGAGAGGTGGATTCTTAAGTGCTCAGATGGAAGGGCAGGCAGATGGGGTAGGTCAAACCTGATGCTGACCAACGGCACCTGAGAATTGCTTCCCCAGTTTCCAGAGGCTCAGACAGGGCCCCAGCCCCCTCTCTTCATAGGGATCCCACAGAAAACAGAAGAAACGATTCTATTTATTTCCTTTCCCATTCAAATGTACTTCCCATTCCTCACATTTCTCCATAGTGTGCTCAGTTTTCTTCAGCTTTTATCACATTTATTTCCCAAACCCATCAACAGAAGCTAAGTCATTTCTATTCCCAGAGGCCACCACACACTGGTAATTCAGGGTTAAAAGCTTAGCAGACCACTCACCCTCTGTCCCTCTATTGTCTTGCTGGTAAACAGTATTGCTCACAAGCTTGTTAAGTTAGGAAATATATGGGAAGCACTTAGCCATGTGCCTAACCTGTACCAAGTACTCACTAAATATACGACACTATCCTCACCAGGCTGATTCTACGATAGGCTGCCTAGCCATCCCCCTTTTTTATCCATTTGGGTTATTTCCAGCCTTTCAGTACCATGAAAAGCCCTGTTATAAATACCTGGCAATATTACCTTCCCCATAAGCTTTTGGGGTTATGTTTCCTAAAGTGGACTTACCAAGCTGAGACAAATAACTCTTTGTAAAGGTGCTTCCAGATTATTTTTCCCCCAATTTGTAATGAAACCACACTAATGACCATTGTCTTCCCTTTCCCACTGTGAAACTTTTGGTCAGTGAAGACAGGATGACTAAGTCTACAAGGAAAGGCAAGGTAGCTGTGGGGCTAAGAACATTTGCTTTTTGAAAAATCATCATAAATGAGGAGTTCTCATTCAACGTACAGATTCCTTTTCCATGTTCCGTCTTGTCTCCTTAGCAGATCACTTGTGATGGGATGATGAGAACTAGGAAATACCCAAGTTTTTGGAAAGGCACAACCTAACCAGGATAACCGCTCTGGTATGCCACTGCCCAGAGCCACATTCAACCTTGTGACTCTGAGGCATGAGTCTGGTGTCACATGACTAATCTGTGAAGCTCAGGCATTCATAAATAGTGTATTAAAAACATCCTGGACTGAAAACAGGTGTTAATAAACTGCACTTGAATAGCAATTAAGACAAACCCTACACACCACTAATTTGTTTGTTTACATATCCTGAAGGGGGTTAAAGAATCAACTCATTGCTGGTGGTGTTAAGCCCTAAGCCCCAGCATTTTAGGAAGAACAGTTCCATTTTTCATCTTCCAAGACATACTGTTTGACCTAAGAATGAAGTAAAACAAGATACAAAAACAAGTCTTTTGGTCCTATTCTGCAGTTAGGCCCCATTTTTAGTATCCCTTTTAAGACTTGCAATAATCTCTGCCAGATACTTAGCTCTTCTCTTGCTTTCCTTAAGTTGAATAACTTAAGAGTCCCCTCCCCATAGCATATTCCCCAAATCTTCAACACTTTTTCCCTTTCACCTCTGGAGCCTTGGAGTCCTTTCCAGCCTCTTTCCAACCACCCCACCCCACCCCACCTGCAGCTTTCCTCTTTTTAGGGGAACAGGTACAGCTTCAGTCCCCTAGACTCTGGGGGAACTCTGAATCACAGGAGTCTACTCTGACTTATTAGTTTCAGAAACATCTCACAATAGCACGTATTAATCAGCTTGACATGCAACTTTAGTTGTCATTCATAGTTACCTTAAGTCTCTGATTGAAAGCATCAAACAGCAGTTTGATCCCGTCCTGAGTCAGGTTAAGGATGAGGTCATGGCTTAGAGGAGACTGCAAAACAAAAAGTAAAGCACTCTGAACAACTTACTCAACAGCAACTAAAAAACCTTACAAATCTAAATGCAATGCACAGAGATTATGGAGTGCAGATAGCCCCTCCCTCGCCCAACTAACAAACTGTTGTGTGAATGCAGTGTCCTCTGCTTCCAGTCTGAAACTGCTGCTTCCTAATACTGGATGAAAAGAGCCTCTTTCTTCTAGGCTTTGAGTAATATTACCTGAGGGAAAGGGCCAAGATTATGTGAATATATAGGCCATTTTCTTTGGAAGGTCCAGAGTCCACATCTATAGCATGGGTTTACCTATCAAACCTACAGAGCAATCAATGAGGAACAGAGACCAGGGAAAAGGGCCTCTCTAGGACCCAAATTTGTCAGGTAATGTTCAATGCACGTCAGCTGAACCTATGTCCATTCACTTCCAGGCTGTTTGTGCCATCCACAGGAAATCTATCCTATACTTTGACTGCTTTAAGCCATGTTCCAGGACAAAGAAATACCTTGTGTTGTTTATATATGAGATGACACTCTTACTCCTTCCTTCCCTCTCCCCACCATCCCATATCACATGTGCTTCTTTCTGAAAAGCCCAAATCTAAGATCTAAGGAGTCATATTTCTACATTTGCCTCTTCTGAGTCTGGGGGGAGGGGAGTAGCAGCACAAAGCAGTGGACAGAGCCAGCCTTGAATACTGGTGAGCTGGTGACCTTAAGTGACTCTCAAAACTTCTCTGAGCTCTAGTTTCTTCATGGGAATACCATCATCCCTTCCCTCCAGGGTTGTTGTGGGAACAGAGATAGTAGGTCTAGATAGCAAGAGAAAGGGCACCAAGCACAGCACTTGGCATACAGCACTCTTTCATCATGTCTGTATTACCAGCCTGCTTCTGCTCCAATGCAATCAATTCAAGGATTTGACATCTGAAGCCACTCCATAGCCCTGAACCAAGCTGCCCAACAGAAAAAAAAAAAAACACAAAAAACCCAACATCCAAAACCCTGTCCCTCCTTTAAACTGGCACATAGCTCTCAAAAGAGTTTAGAAGTTTCTTTATAGAGCCACCCAAGGTAGGCACAGTGAATGACAGAAGTGTGGCTGTCAGAGACAGAGATGTAGGCTGGAAGGCCAGGTGCCACTGGCGTGGGCCTCACTGGAAAAATTCTCTCCAGGGGTGCCTGGGTGGCTCAGTTGGTTAAGCGTCTGCCTTCGGCTCAGGTTGTGATCCTAGGGTCCTGGGACAGAGCCCCCCACATCAGGCTCCCTGTTCAGTGGACAGCCTGCTTCTCCTTCTCCCTCTGCCACTCCCCCTGCTTGTGCTCTCTCACTCTTTCCGTCAAATAAAATCTTAAAGAAAGAAAGAAAGAAAGAAAGAAAGAAAGAAAGAAAGAAAGAAAGAAAAGAAAAGAAAAGAAAGGAAAGAAAGGAAAGAAAGAAAGGAAGGAAAGAAAGAGAAAGAAAAGAAAAATTCTCTCCGAAGAGCTTTCTGGGATTAACTCAGACTATGCCAATGATTTTCACAAGGTAGCAGGCCCAGGTGGCACCACCATGCCTGGCAAACACTAGAAGAAAGAATGTTGTAATTTTCTAGTACGCCTGTATGAATGTCTAAAACCTTTAGGCCTCAAGCAAGATACTACAACAATGAACCCTGACGTTAGGTCACTGATTCTCAACCCGGAACACATTTCTGAGAGGGCTATTACATGGCAGTAAGCAGGATGAAGCAACATTTTAGCATCCTTCAAGATCTTTGCTTGGAGGAGGAATGATGGAAGGATCTGAATTTTCTTACACTCTCCCAAGATCTGATCATTTTTCTCCTGACATGGTTACAATTCAGGACATAACTAGATAATTTTCAAAAGCAAGTAAATTATCCTCACAACCATTATTTTATTAGTATTTTATATCTCCAGAACCAAAGTATACCTGTACTATGTTATGTTTAAGCAGGCCCTTTCAGTGACCCAGAACTATACAGTCCTCCATATGAAACAGTTAGTAAAGCTGTTCACTCTTAGTTGTTAACACTTTTCCCTCTAAGAAAGATGGGACCTATTTGATATACACATTTAACTTCCAAGGTGTGATATGCTAGAGACAAGAAGATATTTCTGAAACATTTAATGGGGCCAAACTATTCTTCACACTTGATGGGAGCAAGGAGACAGATGGGAAAGGAAGGGAAGGAGGGCAGAGGAGGACAGGACCCAATTTAAGAAGCATTACATCAGAACTCTGAGAGACCACCTCCTCTTGATCCTCATCAAAAGGTTATTCTATTCTAGGGCACCTGGCTGGCTCAGTCAGAGGAGCATGTGACTGTTGATTTTGGGGTTGTGAGTTTGAGCCCCACATTGGGTGTAGAGATTACTTAAAATAAATAATATAAAATTTAAAAAAAGATTATTCTATTACAAGGAAACTATATCCACATTACAGAAGGAGAACCAGACTGGTTGCATGTAGATACATACAACATTATATGACAGGGGTTAATTCCTGGCACAACTGACCAAAAGTTGCATGGCTAAGAAATAGGAAAAGCAAGGATCCGAACGAAGGTTTGGACTCAAAAACCCATGTTTTCCAACTGATTCCAGTTGCTTAGGAGATATCAGGGGAATGAGCTTAATGCTAAAACTACTATGTGCACCTAAAGATTGGAACAACAGACAACAAAGGTAGCAAAATAAGAAATAGACTTCACTCTTAAAAACCGGTTAAGCCTATTTTCAAATATATCTAATTTTGGGGTGCCCAAATCTGATTTAACTGAATATGCAGGAGCTGTAAGCTCAAGAAGCAAGCCCATTATCCCTGTTTGGATGGTTGCTAATCGTCATGAGTAATTTCCTTACGGTCTAACACTGAAAATCAGAGTAGGTTAGGGATCATTCGAGTACGACAAAGAGGAAAAGTCACCATCCTTCACTTTATAAATGAGAAAACACTTTGACACTGTGGCTCAAGAAATCCCCTGGCCCACTCTTAGAAGTCCCTTTTTCCGTGGTAGGCACCACAAGAATATCTAAGCACTTGCTTGGAGATTATGCATTCTCTGTCTCAGGAAGACCCTTCACATAGGGTCTCTCTCATTGGGCTGGAAAAGGAGTATTGTACTGCAGAGTGTAATGTCTGGACATACATGAGAGGCTCAACCCTGACACTAGGCCAAACTGGAAAGCCTCACAGAAATCTCACTCACCTCTAATCCACAACATTCTTCATGTTAAAAATAAACTGTCATTTGCTTTAGGATCTGAAACTAATTGGAACAAAGGGAACTAAAATCATCAAAACAGTACGTAGAAGGTCTCAGAAAAGCAAGCGAGGACATGCAGTAGCATGTTAGGGGCAAAACTATTTATTCCCTGGGGCGCCTGGGTGGCTCAGTCGGTTAAGCATCTGCCTTCAGCTCAGGTAATGATCCCAGGGTCCTGGGATTGAGTCCCGCATCAGGCTCCTTCCTCAGCGGGGAGCCTGCTTCTCCCTCTGCCGCTCCCCCTGCTTGTGCTCTGTCAAACAAATAAAATATTAAAAAAAAAAAACCCACCCAAACCAAAACAAAACAATTACAGAATCTATTTATTCCCTGAGGTTTGTGACACATAGGGCGCCATAAAGGCTGCTCCACACAGCAACACATGGTCTGTGTCGCAGAAGAATCACAGGTTTCAGAGAGTTCAGTAGAAGGCAGACTGCATTTTTAGAGAGGTAAAGAATTCTCTTTCTAGTGCGCCTCGGTGGCTCAGTTGGTTAAGCGGCTGCCTTCAGCTCAGGTCGTGATCCCAGGGTCCTGTGATCAAGTCCCGCACCGGGCTCCCTGCTCGGCGGAGAGCCTGCTTCTCCCTCTCCCTCTGCCTGCCTCTCTGCCTACTTGTGCTCTATCTCTGTCAAATAAATAAATAAAATCTTAAAAAAAAAAAAAAGAATCCCATTTCTAAAAGCCCATAAAAAATAGTCTCTAACTTTACATACAAAACCAAACACAAAAAATCCTGATGTTCAGAAAGTACTCTGGTGTAACATATATATTCTTTCTGGAAATGGAAAAGGTCTTTGTAGATACATGCAACATTATATGATAGGGGTTAATTCCTGGCACAACTGACCAACATTTAATAGAGACCACCATAAATCAGACCAAAAAAAAAAAGCAAAATATGAACTATGTCCATTAATTTGGAGCCAATATTTTGACATATGATCTCATGTATCAGATCATTCTCACTAAAGTAGTAAGCTACACCTGCTTCTTTTCAAGTCTGGAGTGCTCTGCTGGCTAGAAATTTGCACTGCAACAACTCTGAACACAAACCAAAGCAATCAACAAAGCAAAAAAGACTATTTTAAATATAAAAGTGAAAGGCAAGGACCTAGAAGACAAGATAGTCGCTGAGGTGCCCTCCCACTGAAATATCCCTGTCTAAGGACCAGTAGATAAGTCAAACACATCAAAAAACAAGTTCAGTTATTAGTGCTCTTCCAAACCTGGCAGCACTAGATTATCAAGACGAAAAGTTTCAGAATCAAAGAAAATGTATTTGGTGACTGACCAGTGCTAGAGATTCTCCCATTCAAACACAATGACCAAGCAATCCCTGCCAGTCTGTCTCTCCGAGAGCATCAACCTCTGGATGTGACTCAATGATGAGGAATGCTATTTCAGTAAACAAAGCAGCTACCACTCACCTGTTCACTGTAGAGAACCTGGACATTTTTGATGATGCGACAGTGCTTCTGAAGAATGGCTACTGCCTGAGCCAGAGGCATTCCTGAAATAAAGCAAGGACACCTGTGTGGTTACTTGGGCTATCCATTTCCTGACATCGATCTTCATACTAGGCATTAGACTGTGCAGTAAAGCCTGGGGTGGGAGGCGGGGGCCACTAAGGTCTATAAACATATGAGTAAATAAAAGTTCAGTAGCAGTAAGAGCTAGAATAAAGTTACCAGCAAGCACTAAGGGAACAACTGGATTGTATAAGGGGAGGGAGTGAATATATAAAAGATATTCCTGGAAATGAGAACTACCGTCCTGATCCCAAGCAGGAAAAGGGCTCAGAGAAGGCAAAGTCAGCATGAACCAAAGAACAGTGAGAAAAGCACTGACTGCATGACTGGATCTGGAGACCAAGGTTCTGGTTCTCACTCTGCCATGAATTACGTATTACCTAGGGCAGGTTCCTTCCTCTCTTTCTGGCATGTCTCCTCATCTCTCAAATGAGAGTCCACAGGAGCACATGACTTGTAAGGGCTCATTTAAAAAGTCAAAAATCACACATCTGGGCACCTGGGTGGCTCAGCTGGTTAAGCGACTGCTTTCGGCTCAGTTATTGATCCTGGAGTCCCAGGATCGAGTCCCGCATCGGGCTCCCTGCTCAGTAGGGAGTCTGCTTCTCTCTCTGGCCCTCCCCCCTCTCATGCTCTCTCTCTCAAAAAAACAAAAATAAAATCTTAAAAAAAAAATCACACATCTACCAGAACCAACTTACTTTACTAAGAATTTCACTGGATCCTTACTTATCAACCCACAAATCCTCTAAGTCTTAATACTCGATCTTTGAACTCATGGCCCATTATAAACAAATTTATATATGCCCCCAATTTAAGAAATCCAAATCCCAACAATATCTCTAAGATCCCAGGGACTACCAAAAAGTATGTTTTCAGAGTCCATTATATTTCAAACAAGAAGAAACTCACAGAGAGACAATCCAAAACAAAGTCCCAGACAAAATCCAAAATCAAAGACTCACAGCTTTATGACTCCAAGGGCAGTGTTTTATTATTCACCACTCTCTGGATCCCCAGCACCTAGGACAGGGTTTACCACATAGTGGCTGTTGAATAAATACTTATTCAGCCAAGCTGACGGATAATGGAGAAGATAATAAGAGAAAGGGAGAAGGAGGGACCACCATATGACCTCAAGTAAGCACAGTGGCTCACGTTCAAGATCACTTTCCCTCTGATTCTAGGAGAGATGTGCAGAAAAGAGTTTACACACAAATAACAGAAGGTTATAAAAACACATGGTCTATCTACATTTAAACAATGATCTAACCTTGCCCTCATTTGATGGTCCATTCTACAGTTTGAAGAAAGTTGGAGGAAACCAGACCTTAACACAAGGCACTTTCCCGCCTTCTATAACATAGGGCCTGGTACATAGTAAGGCTTAATAAATGTTTGTTGAGAATATGAACAAATTGGACGCATCACTCAGCTCTGCCATTCCTGAAATGGAGGAGCATCTATGCTGTCTCTCCCAAAAAGAATGGGCAAACATCCATGTGTTAGGTGCTGAGAAACAGAAGGCCACATGGCTTCTCTGACCCACATGGCATAAATCAGTTTCTCAAGGGAGGATTCTTTTCCACTTAACCACATCAAATCCCTGGTCTTGCAATCTTTGGGTTCTCAGGTCCTGAGTCACCTGGGGAGGAACCCACCTGGAGGAGACAAAGCAGCTACAAGGACCAGTTGTCACACAGCTGCTGGTAAAGGAAGGCTACAAAAGTCCTCTAAAGGGAACCAACCATATGTATGGCAAAGAAACTAGAGCACTGTCCCAGTTCTAACACAGCTACCTAGCCCCAAAAAGGGTACAGAGTGTATGTCAGCCTTCTAAACTGTATACATCTTATGTCTTATAGATCTCATCATTTATCTGCTTATAACCCTCCAAGAGTTTCCCATTACAGGGCAATAAAACTCAAAACAACAAGCCATCGCCTAAAGTCCCTGAATATTCTGGATCTTGTCTACCTCCATCTTTCTTTCCACTGCTCATCATGCCTCCCTTTGTTCCCAGCACATGTCAAACTCCTTCCTACTTTAGGCCTCTGTGCTAGCTCAGACTCTGCTGGAATGTTCTTCCCATAGTTGGTTTCTTCTCATTCTTCAGGTCTTAATCACATCTCACTTCCCCAACTGCCTTATCTAATAAAGCCTCCCATCCCGTTTATTTATCTGTTAGTCTCCTCTAAACCTCGAGGACAGAAACATTATCTGTCTTACTCACTGCTGTATCCCCAGCACCCAATCACTGTGCCTGGCACAACAGTAGGTGGTCCTATGTATTTGTTGGGCTCTGATGGAGTGAAACAAAGCAATTGTGGGACACGTAAATCCTGTACCATAGACCCTGGTGACCACGCTCCCACTCTGAGCACTCTCATCCTGTCTCTACTAACACCACTCTTTCCTGCTGTTCCTCTAACTTCCCATGTCTCTATGATGGGCAACATTTCCTTCTGCCCATTCCTCATTCACTCATCCAACCAAACACTTTGTTTCGGACTCACATCTCAATCTGCTTTCTATATAAACCTAAAGGCAAATAAAAAGTTGACAGATTGTAACAGTGACTTTTTCATCTTCTTTTCAATCTGAGTTCTCTTCTGTATTCTGGGTCTCAATACCTCTAACATCTACCCAGTCACCTCTAGATTCCTTCTCCACCTCCCCAAATCTAGTCTCTAACTTTCTTCCTAAACTCATGTCCACAAGACACTTCACTCATCTTCACTTCACCCTCTTTTCCATTGGACCCCAAACTCCTTGGTAGTGTCCCAGGCAGCTACCACCAAAGAGTATTGGGAATTTGGAGAACCCATTTTCTTCTTCCATTAGTACATCACGCTCTAATTATAATACCAAACTGCTTATAGTTCCCTACACACACAATCTTTCCCATTGTTTTGTTTTGAATTTGACTGGAAGATTTATATCTATAGAGACACTGTAGAAGAGCAATCTGGCAGATTTCTGATAGGGCTTTCCTGGTGCTCACTGGCTCCAGGAATGGTACTGACTACTGTAGGTAGAGAGAAAGCCCTCCCTGAATCCCCAGGTCAGCTCAAGTCTTTTCTCCCCTCCAAAGCACCCTATACAGCCTCTACCTCATTTTAATATAATGAACTATTTCTATAACCCTTCCCTCACACTAAACTCTTCAGGGTATATGACCATTTCTTATTCAATTTCTGATGTTTGTTTTTTTCTAGATTTTATTTATTTGACATAGAGACAGCGAGAGAGGGAACACAAGCAGGGGCGGTGGGAGAGGGAGAAGCAGGCTTCCTGCTGAGCAGGGAGCCCGAAGCGGGGCTCGATTCCAGGTTCCTGGGACCATGACCTGAGCTGAAGGCAGACGCCTAACGACTGAGCCACCCAGGGGCCCCCAATTTTTGATGTTTGTAAGCAGAGTCCACAGAGGTCTATATGCTGCCTTAAACGGAGTGAGCCTTCAGTTTATAACAATTCAGACACATGCCTCCACACCAATACATTCTCCAAGTCTTACTGAAAACGTTTCAAGTTTGTACTGCCTTTATTCCACCACTAGTCAAGCCATCAGTGGCATTCTCAGAGATTCCTCTTTGCCTAGGTTTTCCTGTCCGTGTTGTTGGCATTTCCCTCATCTCCCAACATGACACAAAGGTCAGGAAGGAAGCCAAGAAGCTGGATGCAGCTCCCCACTGTGATGCCAGGCAGATGATGGCAAGGGCGAGAAGCATCTGCATTTGCAGATTCCAAAAAGAACAGAGACAAAGCTGAGCCAATCCTCAGAAGGGCAGAGCAGTGGGAAGAAGGATTTCCCTGTTCAGGTACCTACTTTTCATCATCTCTACCTTTCTGAGCCTGCTCCTCATGTGGCAAATGGAGATTACCTAACAGGGTTGTGGTGACTTTAGTTAAGCACTGCCTAGTTCTCTAGCCTAGGAATGTAATTCTAAAGCATAGATCCACTTCTTAGATCTATCCCTACCTATCAACCCCTATTGCAGTTTACATGTGTTGAGGGTTGGGGAGAAGACTGAGAGAGAAGAAAAAAATCTTTTTCTTTTTTTAAAAAAGCTTGAGGAAATTAAAATAACTGTCATCTTTCAGGCAGACACGCTTTAAAACTGCAGATTTTTTTAAAAAAGATTTTATTTTTAAGTAATCTCTACACCCAAAGTGGAGCCTGAACCCACAACCCTGAGATCAAGAGTCACATGCTTTACCAACAGAACCAGGCTGATTTTTAAGACCCACCAGAGAATCATCAAGGCCAAGCCACCTCTATGAGGCTTCCCTCAAAGTTCAATTCTGTGCCACTGTACAGAAATGCTCTTTTCACTGTTGTTGCCATTTAGATGTTTAAACAGTTTGGAAGAACTACCCAAACCCTTGATTCCTGGAAACTGGCAAAGTTAGGAGTGGGGGTTAAGGTATCTAAACAACAGGTGACAGAAGAAGCCTTGCTCTTCCACCCAGCTTTTTTGGGAAATCCTGGCCTCAACTGACATTCTTTTTATTTTTATTTTAAGTAAACTCTACCCCCAGTGTGGGGCTGGAACTCCCGAGATCAAGAGTTGCATGCTCTACCGACTAAGCCAGCCACCCACCCCTCAAATGACGTTCTAATCATTACTTTTGGCCAAGAGGCTCTGTACCACTGAGATTCACAAACTACATGCATGCACCATCAAGCACAGTTTGAAGTTATGGTTGTGGTTCTCTCTGCCCTGTTAAGTACTGGTATGAAAAGCTGTGGGTAGGGGAGGTTCTTTCTTAAATAGAAGGCAAACAACATCAGCATATGAATGGGTCTGAAGGCAAATGTATTACTGGCCTCCCAATGAAGCTCTTGGTGCTTCACAAGAGGCCAAAGTGTTTCATACCAGCTAAAATTTTGGGAAGAACTCTGCAGGAGTGGTGTAAATTATGAGAGGAACTGGCTAAGACCTCTCTATAAAACTGGCTTCTATAACCCAGAGGCTTGTAGTTCAGTCAGTTCATGGAGAGACTGAGCACCAGCAGGGTCCTACCAGCATCTATTGTGCAGTTTCTCATCTAGCCTGTCTCCACTGACAAGTCTTCCAGATTCAAGGATGAGTTAATAGCCCAAAGGAGCAGGTCACTCAGTCCAGTAGCCCAAATTAGTGGGACAAAAGTTGAAGTCTGCACAAAGAGCACCAACACCTGCTCCACACCCCCTTTTCCTAGTGCTGGATAAGTGTAAACATACACTGAATGCACATATTTGTATATATAAAGGTAGTGACGTTGGGAATAGTTAATACTGGGCCCAAACCCCAAAAATGGCCAAACTGCATTTTATAAAAACCAAATGTTACTTTCCCTGAACTCTTATTTCATTAAACCTTCAACTCTCTCTGCTACGGTCTGGGTTTAGGATTACACCACACATCGACCACACTGAAAAGGAGAAGGAAACAAGTAACAAGTTCCTTTAACACACAAACTCTTCTTACCTCCCTTGACTAGATCCCTAACATGTGATTATGGGATCTGACCCTAGCTTTCCCCTACGGACGACGCAACCTACAGCCCAGAAAAGCAAAAGGAGACGGACTACTGTGGCGTTTAAGGGTGTCAGCCACTTCTTAGCTATTAAGTCTGTAAAATGGAAATAGAAAAAACAACAGTATGGACCCTCAAACCCCAAGGAGCCATACTTGAGATAATAACGCAAAGAAGCAGGGTCTGGCCTTGAATAAGTGTTTTGGGCGTGTCGGCCATTGTTGTTATTATTACTACTGTACCACTGCCCCAGAAGGAGCCCTGCTGAGGCGTGAGGCGAGGGCGTCAAGGTCAGAACCAGCGAAAGACTAGCGAGTCTGGCCGGTAGGAACGGGTATCTTAGTGCCTGGAGCCCAAAGAGCCGAGAGGACGGAAGAGGCGAGGACCCGCGGGCGCAGGGGAATAAGGGGCAGAGACCAGAGGCAGTAAAGGCCTGGAGGTAAGTAAGAAGCAGAGTAAGGTTCTGAAGTAGGATCCCACACTCACCCAGCGTGAATTCCCATTGCTCGTTCCCCAAAGAGCGTTCCGGCACCACCTCCAGATCCAGCATTGGTTCAGCTCGCCGGGCCGGGGCGGCCTCCCTGCAGCAACGCAGACGGAACCGAAGCTGGGGAAACAAGGCAGCGACCGACCTGCCGTCCCCGCTGGCCCGGTTCCCCACCTAGTCCTCGGCCACCGGCGGCACCAGCCCAAAAACACACCTCAGGTCAGCAGAGCTCAGCTCACCGGCAAAAGCCTCGGCGGCAGGGGCAGCGGCGGCAGCCGGAGCGTCTGCAGCAAAACTGGCGTGCGGGGTCGTAAAGCGTGGCGGGGGCGGGGCGAAGGCGGAATATCAATCGCGGGGTGGGGTGGGGGGAGGAGCCCAAGGAGGAGTCGCGCACGCGCAAAATGCTGTGAAAGTCGCGGCGAAGGCTGAGGGAAGTCAGACTGTACCGCCAGGAAGGGTGGGTGCTGGTGGAACCGGGCCTCCGTACTCCATGAATCACCATATTTGCACACCCCACTGCACACGTTTCACATCTCCACACAAGGATGTGCACACCACGCAACACACAAATGTGACGTGTTCTACAAATCCGTCTGCCCTCTACACGTACGTACGCCCCACTCACACTCACTGGGTGCAAAAGGCAAGTTCCGAGGGTGCAACGTCTGAGGCCCAGCTGGGAGGGAGGACACCGACATTCAAGTGAGGGCGAAATGTGCTCGAGTGTTTGCGTAGGGACATGGGGGAGTTGGGGGAGAGGAATAGGTAGAATGGGGAGCAGCTAGGCCAGACCTCAGCTGACTTAGTCCAGATGTGTACAGCCCCCTGGGGCCGGTATCCAGAGGTCGTTGGCAGCCCCTCAGCCTCAGGTCGGTCAGCTTTGCCCCCGACACTGTGTGGTCTTGACCAAACGTCTGGTTTCCTTTGTGCCTCATTCTCATTATCTACAGGTCGTAAGAGGGGCTCCTCTAGCCTGTTCCGCCTGAGCTTTCGGCCCATGCCGTGGGGCACTCAAAAACTAAAAGGGAACCAGACCTCTTTTAGAGCCAAGCCTTCATGGAAGCACTCTTGATTCTCACAACTACCCTGAGATGTCAGATTCCACCTCACTTTACGAGTGAAGAAAATGAGGCCCAGAGAGGTAAATGGCCTGTGGTCCTCAGTGGTAGAATCCAAGTTCTTTCCTTTACATTCCCCTCCAAGGAAGGATTTTAGCAGGGGAGAGAATGACATGCTAAATTCTCGAACTGGTTTGGTAGGAATGTAACTTGGGAGGCTCCATCAAAACTTGAAGTCACTGCTACTGGCATTAAAACAACACGGAGAAGGATGTCCATTGCCGCATCATATGCCAAACAATAGAACTGAGTCATTGAGATGTCCACCGGTAGGGAAGTGGCTGACTGAACTGTGATATATGTAATAGAATACGTTTAAAAAGCAAAGTATATCCCTGTATGCTGATGTGGAAGGAATGCTAATAGAAAAAAGCCAGGTGTAAACTGTATAGTAGTATGTAAAAACAGAAATAAAAGAAACATTGTCCATACCAAAAGAACCTTTCTGGAAAGATAAACCAAAAAAATATCAATAATACCTAATACAGGGAGTGGGGATAAGGTGGACATTTACTTCTTACTATGGATGGCAAGCATTAAAGATGTGAATAGATTACCTTATATGTGGATGGGATTGGTTTACGATAGGTTAGTTGGGCAGCTGGTCTAAATAGCATGGGAGTAGACCTGGAAAGAAATCTAATATTGATGAGGAGTAATCTTAGTTGATCTAAAATGTTTGAATTGAACTCAAATCCAACCAGACTAGGACTGGTTCTTATATTCAAAAAACATTTGGAGGGACTTATTTCTGGTGAACAAAGAGGTTGGGGCAGGTCACGTGGGGGTGTGGGAGAGGAACGACAACAGAGAAAGCCACACTGGATAACATGAAAAGGATGTTTAGTCTGGAAAATCCAAGTAACAGGAAGAACAAGGGTGGGAAAGCCCCTAAGAAATTCCCTTGGGGGGGGTGGCACCTGGGTGGCTCAGTTGGTTGAGCAGCCAACTCTTGATTTCGGCTCAGGTCATATACTGGGGTCATGAGATCAAGCCTTGCCTATCTCTGCTTGAGATTCTCTCCCTCTCCCTCTGTCCCTCCATGTGCTCTTTCTCCCTCTCTAAAATTAAATAAATAAGATCTTAAAAAAAAAAAAAGGAAACTTTAGAATGGAAGCAGGAGACCAGCAGGGGGAGCTCAGACATCCTACTCCTGGTGGTAGATTGCATACCCAACAGGACCAGATGTACCTTGTAAATCCGTATTAGGATAGCTACTATTTTACTGACCAGCCAGGTGGAAGAAAGGTTTCCTCCTCTGTGGGCAATAGCCCAGCCAAAGCCACTATACTTTGAGCTCCCATTTTACTCCAATTGACTTTTTGTTTATAATAGCCTTCCCAACTTCCCCCTTTCCTATATAAGAGCTGTCCTCTCCTTTATTCTGGGGGTTTACTTATGGCTTTCCTGTATCTTGTTTGTCCTGGATTAAAATTCTCTATTCCTAAACAAGCCCATTTTTGCTGGTAAAATAACTGGCAGACTTATTTTGTTTTTTGTTTTTAAAGATTTTTTATTTATTTATTTGAGAGAGAGAATGAGAGAGAGCACGAGAGGGAAGAGGGTCAGAGGGAGAAGCAGACTCCCTGCTGAGCAGGGAGCCCGATGCGGGACTTGATCCCAGGACTCCAAGATCATGACCTGAGCTGAAGGCAGTCGCTTAACCAACTGAGCCACCCAGGCGCCCCTGGCAGACTTATTTTGAAGGTTAACATTGGTTAAACATGTTGACTGGAAGTTTGAATCCTAGTTCTGCCATATAATGATTTTGTGCCTTGGGCAAGTTACTTAGATTCTCTGTGTCTTAGTTTCCTCATTTGTAAAACGATCATACCTCACAGCTTTGTAGCACTTATAGGTAAATGGTTTTTGACTTACAGGTAAATGGTTTGTGTGTAACTAACATTTTTAAAAAAAACCCAATAGTGACAGAATTGATGGAATCCTTTGGCAGGATCTATAGAATGAATGTGGAAGATGAGGGACAAAAAGATTAAAGAATAAAAACACAGGTTTCCAGCTTCGGGTAGCTGAATGGATGATGGTGTTTCTCAGGACAACGGCTGGGGGAACTGACATTGGAGGGCTGGAAGGATACCAATCCTATTAAACGGTCACATGAGGGGCGCCTGGGTGGCTCAGTTCGTTAAGCGACTGCCTTCGGCTCAGGTCATGATCCTGGAGTCCCGGGATCGAGTCCCACATCGGGCTTCCTGCTCAGCAGGGAGTCTGCTTCTCCCTCTGACCCTCTTCCTTCTCGTGCTTTCTCTCATTCTCTCTCTCTCTCAAATAAATAAAATCTAAAAAAAAAACAAAACGGTCACATGTGATAGCTTAGAAGGCGGGAAACGTTCATGTAGGTGAAAAGCTTAGAAAACAAAATTTTAGTACCATCGTTACTATTGGTTGCATTTGTCAGGAGAAGAACCAACAGCCAGTTTGAAAGCAGAGATGAAGGGTAACTTCATCCAGCAAATCAGGAATGGGCCCAAGAGTTGTGGACAACAATGGATTGGGGAGTCCCTCCCAATCAGCCTTACAAAAGATACTCCCCTCTCTCAGGGTAGAAAGCCCTCAGTCTCTCTCCCCAGTGACATTTCATAACTGTTAGTATGGTGGCTTTATTCTCCCCTTTTCTGAATGGAAGTGTTTCCTGCACTTTTCCTGTTCCTATTCTACCATTGTAACTGACTGTGTTAAGGGCACATAATGACATATCCTACAATTTTACCTCAGTGCTTGGGACTTTTAGGTTGTCTCCTATGGTAGATCTATTTTCTTGAGGAAAGGAGGGTAAAATTAAATATTTAATAATTGAGAGGGCGGCCTATGATAGTCATTAGTGCTATGCGCAAATATTCTCTTTGTAAGATTGCAGTTCTCAGGTGAAGTCGGGAATAGCCCTGTGGTTTGCTAGGTCCAATGTTATGTAAAAAGAAGTCATGTGTGTCAAATTCCTGTGAGTTTTAAAAGCTAGTGCCCCTTTCATTACACTGTCTTCTTGGCCCCCCTGCATGGTTGGCTATGTTCCAGTGACAGTATGCCTAAATCAGCCAAGTAGAAAGTTAACTAAGAGATTAAGTTAATCTTCAAGTCAATGAAAAATTTTTTTTTAAGATTTTATTTCACAGAGACACAGAGAGAGAGGGAACACAAGCAGGGGGAGTGGGAGATGGAGAAGCAGGCTTCCCGCTGGGCAAGGAGTCCGACGCGGGGCTCGATCCCAGGACCCTTGGATCATGACCTGAGCTGAAGCCAGACGCTTAACGACTGAGCCACCCAGGCGCCCCAAGTCAATGAAATTTTAAGGCAACACAACCAGCCTGATAAGAAAAACCAGTAAAACTGTCAATTATACCTCCTGTACTTTTTTCTCAGGTTTGAAATGTCTCCAGGCCCACTAAGGTATTCTTAAAACTCTCTACTGGTTCATTGTATGATCAATGAGACTGACTTTCTGCTTCTCATCTCTCCAACCACAGTGAGCTTTTTCCAGCGCCCATTCCCTCAAACTCACAACCCCTCAGTGGCTTCCTGTTTGCCCATGGGAACAGTCCCAGTGTTTTAACATGGCTGAGAAGTCCATCCAGCACTGCTCGGGACCCTCCCCTTGGCCTCTACTGATCCTTTCATATTTCTCCACAGCTGCAGCCTTCTCCATTCCATGTTTTGGTTTTACTCAACTGCTCTGTATCTCAAACTTGCCATGCCCTTACCTGGCTACCTGTAATACTTTTGTCACCTTCTCTTTGCTCGGGTAGTGTCTCCTTCCATCCTTGAGATTTCAGCTTAAATGCCTTAAGGAAGCCTTTTTTGACAACCTAGACCAGGTTAGATGTACTATGTAACAGCCAGTACTTTTTTTTAAAGATTTTATCCATTTATTTGACAGAGAGAGAGAGCGTGCACAAGCACAGGGAGCAGCAGGCAGAGAGAAAGGGAGAAGCAGACTCCCCGCTGAGCCGGGACCCTGGCATCATGACCTGAGCCCAAGGCAGATGCTTAACTGACTGAGCCACTCAGGCGCCCCAGACACTAAACTTTCAAGGGCTAAAGTGAAATAGTCTTCCAGAACAAAGTTGTTTTTTTTTTAA